CTGCACCTTTGGGTTACTCACCTGTTGTTGGATTTCACCCAACTGACATGATTGACTTCTTAGGAAGCACTCATTAATGTGGGGTCCCTGACCACTATGCTCTTCACCTGCCTCCAAGCACCTTTTCTATCCCTGATGTACTCTAAGGCCCTTGTTGGAAGTCACTTTCCTCCAGCAACAGTGGCATATGTGCAATTGTCTTTCTTTTACCTCTGATACTTGTGCTTCCACTGGAATGCCCGCCCTACTCATTGTCAAATCTGTCACAGCTGCTTTACTTCAATCATCACTTCCCTGCACCTAGGTGGGATTCCTTAATCCTGCAATGAATTTATAAAGGCCTTCAATTGCCTGGCCTGTCACAATCTGCGCTAGGGTCAGCTCTCTAAATCAGGCAGCTGACATCAAATCAATTACCGCATCGCCGGTAGGTAAGCACAATGGCACATCCACAAAGAACTCCAGAAACAGGGCTAAATAAGAACCCACACTGGCCATTGCTCAGCAGTTTGCTGTTCCATCGACTCGGTGCCAGCTCTGCAAAAAGAAGCTTCTAACTGCTTCACCTTCTTTTGGCTTTTCTGTTTGTAATATTCACCAACAAAATGACTGAAAGCTGATCCAGATGAGCTGTGTCATCAGAAAGGAACGTTGCTTCAGGTGCCAGTTTAGAGGAAAGGCCTTCTCATTTCTCTGTTACGTCATTGCAAACAATTTCAGAACTACCACCACAATGGACAAATACAAAGTTATTCCTTAAAAAATTCCTTATCAGCTCCGTTCATGAATATCATAAACACCAACAGCCACGTACTGTGAATTTCAAACAATATGCACTTCCATTAACAGTTAACTGAACATGTGCCATGGGACTTTGATAGACTACAAACAGGAAACCTCATGGTCATTTATAACCTGCTACTTTCCACACAGATTTTGGTATGTTTTATCAAGCCATTTATAACTACTGCTGCTGTTTTAATCATGTGTCTTTACCACCTCTTCTCTGAAGAACTTTTAAATTCAACTGATGCATCTTGTGTAGGGCCCACACATCTGGCAACAGAAGGGACTCTGGATGTGGATGCGATGCTTTGTCAAACCCATCAGCTGTTGACATGCCTGCTTTTTTTCCTGACAGTGTAGACAAACATTTCTAAAGCATCTTTTATGGTGGTGTGACAATGATTCATGACCATGGTAAATACTTAAATGTCTTGTCGTGTCTCATTAACATGTGTACAAATGATTTCACACCACTGTTCTACATACATAAGAGATAAAAACATTCACTTCAATTATAGGACCTTTTTTAAACTCAAGACCCAAAAATTCACTGGGTATATAATACTTTATTAGATTATATCACTGGGTATTAGAAATTAAAAAATTAAAACTGAATATCTCTGGGTTTTGGACTCTGAAAAAATTTCACAATAATCAGACATTCCAAAGATTTTCAGCATCTATTAATACAACGTAATTATAAGGACAACCAATAGGAAACCTTTTCAATTGTTGTTAAAATTGATCTTTTATAAGCCAAAATTAAAAATAAAGGTCCATAACAAAGATATTACAAAGAAAAATAATGTCCAATTGCATACATATGGAGGAGAGAAAGAAGAAAGGAACAAAGGAGGGAATTTCTTTTGACAAGGCTCTCAATCTGTGCTAGACAATACTGATAAATATATATTTTGCCATAACATGGCATAAGAAACAAGTGGAACGATGAGAGAGAAATAAATAAATGAAAAGGAATAAAATGAAATTGAAAATGGGGATGAGAGTACCCGGCCAGGTGCAGGCTGTGAGCCCATCACATTGACAGATGAGGTGGTGTGGAGCTGAAGGTCAGCTCCTCAATGCCTGATGGAATAACAACCAACTGTACAGGTTTAGCCTCCTGACATCTCTCTCTCTCTCTCTCTCTCTCTCTCTCTCTCTCTCTCTGACCATCAGTCACTCTGCAAGTTTGCCACTGAAGAATGAAAGGTGAGAAGCCTGTGGCCATTTTGGCTGCTCAGAAACCTGAGCCAGGTCTCTTCTTCATTTGGGACTGCAGCCATGTGCAAGGAAGCCAATTATTACAAATACTTCAAAACATTCAACTAATGAGCAGTCAAACAAAACAAAACACCCAGAACAATGACAACTCATTTAAGGATATTTTGGGAAATAAAGGTGAATTGCTCACACAAAAAGCAATTCAATTCAGTTCAATTTTATTTGTATAGTACTAATCACAACAAAAGTCATCTCTACAAAGTAAGTTCTAGACCTTACTATTATTATTATTATTATTGTTGTTATTGATGAAAAACCCAACAAATGCCCATTGAGCAAGCATTTGGCGACAGTGGGGAGGAAAAACTCCCTTTAACAGAAGAAACCTCTGAGGCCTTCGGCCTCGACCAGCTAGATGAGTTTTGATAAGTACAAGCATGTAAAAAATCCCACTGTATAGAAGCGTACTCTTACTTTGTGTGAGCTGACTATTACAACCTTTCCCTTACAGCTTTACAGAAGACCAGGCCAAGCCATGATTGCACTTTGCCAAGAGAGTCACGCAAAACAGACACTGCATTATACAGACTAGAGGTACATTATGTTCCGCAGTTAGCTGCACACTGCTCTCTAACACCCTGGAAAGGTATTGTGCAGCAAAAGAAATACTCCTCAGTGGGACATATCTGGGGAAGTAAAGAGCAGCTCTGGAAATGTCAATACTCCGCACCAGTTGTGGGAACATGCTGACTCGACACTTTTCTTTCTCCAGAATGTAGTTCAATAATAAACGGCTTACAATTTATGCAAAAGGCCATCAAAATGCAATGCAGTGCTCAGGTTCAAATGCCAGAATGTGTTAGTTGGGCACAGATTTTAATTAGCCCAGACATGTTTTCTCACAGATCAAAAACAAGACTATTTTCTAACTTAGCTGCTGCTCACCAGCAGGAGCGTAATGTGACCTAAACCCTCTGGTCACTACTGTGTGCTCATAATAATCACAGAGGCTTTTAGCACCTTTCTCTTCAGTTCTTTAAGAGAACTGATCATTTACCACAGACTTGTATGTAATTCTGATAATTCCTACTACGTCTGTGGTTTGGCAGAAAAGACACTGATGTAATAGCCCAGCACTTCAGAAGCAGCAGTCAATTCATGAACGTGACAATACTCTGGTAAACCCCATACTTAGACCTGACCCCAACAATGGACTATGAAAATGCTGTGACTGCAAACATGGTTAAAACGAGAAAAAAGGAATGACGCAGGTATATGTGTGTATGGTAAAGCGCAGGTGGATGGTATATAATCAGAGGAATTTCATCTAAGCCTTACCCAACATTACTGTTGCAAAAACTCCAGTAACAACTGATATGGCAACTCTCCTGTCTTCTGGCATCACAAAGACCAACGTATCATCTTGACAACTAGCTGATAAAACAATTATAAAGTAAAAAAATAATTTACTATGCCAAGGAACACAATGCTGACAGCACCACAGTCAACAACTTAAAAGGCTGCCTGAAGTATATTTCGCTCCATTTCTTTTTTGCTCTAAGAGGCCAACAATGTACAGCATATATATATTATATAACAACTTTTTATATGAAACTCCTATGCCAACATCCACAGATACACTGTATTACACCACAGTGTTAATCAGGCCTGTTACAGCTAAGAAATTGACACCTTCTGCACTCTTTATTACACTGATTTTTTTTTTTATTAAGTATGAAAAGTTTAAGGAATTTAATTTTCTTTATTTTCTATTATGTTTTATGTAAACACTCTGCAGTTGATAACCTTTTTTGTACTTCTGTACCTTCTAAAAAGTTAACAAGAATTCCCTCCCTGATGAACTATTCCTATTCACCCATCCTAAAAAGTGCTGCATTTGACATATATTAAACTGTTCATTTAACAAGGTGACCAAGCCTTCCAATATCCCCTCTGCTGTGTCAGGCGGGTTTCCACACACTGAGTCTGATTATTTTTATTACTTGCACATTCCAGAAGTGATGATTTTGCCTACAAATGGTGTGTTCTGGGTCTGGGTAGTAGTTAATTTGTTGTGTTTTGCTTTCAGCAACAAATTTGTCCAGTTTGAGTGATATCTTCCAAGAAACAAATCAAATCCATTCAAATGTTACAGAGCTGAAACAACTATCACTCATTTAAAGGGTTCCATAAAATTGAAAACTCATTTTAAGCCATTTAGGTCATTTTTCAAGCTTGACAAGTGACAAAAGGTTTCCCAAGTTCCTGCTTCTCAATTGTTAACTCTGTCTGATGTGATAGTAAGAAATATCCTTGGACTTTGGACTACTAGTCAGACAAAACAAGTAATGTGCACACGTCACCTTGAGCTTCAGGAAAATTTGTAGGTATTTACGGATATTTTAAGACCAAAAAATTAATCAGTTAATTGAGTAAATAACCGAAATATTAATCAATAATGAAAATGACCATTATTTCAGCCCTAACATGATACATAACTTTTGATCCTACTTTTAAATCAAATCCTGTTTTAATTTTGATACATTTTTTTCATACATTATGTTGAATTAGTATTATTAACATCACTACCACTGTACTATTGCTTCCATTATTGCTCATGTTATAAACAATCATATTATTGTTAAGGCATTACAAAGAACGTGTAACTACAGTACCACAACAAATTAATCCCTTCAACAATATGTAAAATTAATAACAATGCCCCGCTGAAGATATCAGTAAATCAGTGTACATTTCCAGGATGTAACACTGTTAGCCGTGACTAGCGCTTCAAAACAAAAGCATCAACAAAAACAAAGGGGTAGCTGCTGATTAATGCAATGTAACAGCAGGAACACAAGCTAACGTTAGCAGATGTGTACCAAGCTAGCGACCCACACTCGGCTGATTTGCTAGCTATCTCCAAACCCATGCAAAATAAAATTGGCCGACTGCAGAGCTGACATGGAGTGTGACGCCGTCATGCTTACCTTGGGCTTATACAGCCACTTTCGAAAGCGGTTCATCGTTACCTCGCCACCTTCCTTTGTCACCAGCCTTTCCACTCCTGTACCTGTGTGTCTGGCAGTATCAGCGGTTGGCTGCTAAGCTAGCTAGCGCTGGTAGGTTCCAAAGGGGAAGATGTACAAAACACTATGTATGCTAAGTTGTCCAGAACCTTAAGCTATAACACGGCTCTAAAAGCATACAAAGGAGACGTTCGAAGACAAAGACTTATTTTCATCTTCCCTGAATCTTCAGGTTGGTTCCCTGTCTCCCCCGCTCGGCCACTTTCCAAGTGCCGACGATACAGGGAAACTGAGCACCGACGACTCTGCCGTTCTCTACCCCGTTACTTGATGACAGTCACGTTGACAACATTCACCTCCCACTTTCCCAGGAAATGGTGCCTTCAAGCACTACTTCCAAATAACGTGCTCCCCGATGATTTAAGTAGGAAATATAAACAAAACAGACATCCAAATGGAGGTCTGAATGTCTAAATTCGAGGTCCACTTTATCACTTTTGTTGGAGCGTTAAACAGTATCACACGGTCTTCATCAGCAGATTGCCAACTTAGTTTGTAAGTTGTAATAAGACTGCAGATGTTCAGACTTTCCATGATTCTGAGGCACCACGTGAGGCTGTCTCATGTTTGAAAAAATGGTTTGACAGTTCACCCTTTGAGTACTTTCTGTGATTGAGTTCATTGTTAACAACTTCCATTTTCCATTTTCCATGGCACTTCTAGCTTGACAGCACCCAGGCACAGAATACCCCCTGCCTTAATCTGTCTATAATTATTTGAATATATTTACTTATTTTAGTTTATTAGCCTATCATATACTAATTTCAAAATCTCCAACAGCACTTTAAGGCAGCGCACGGCACGCACAAATAGGCTACGTCACTATATGCTACGTCATTATTATTGTTATGGCAGCTAACAAAGGATGTCACAATGTTAATGTGTATCCGATGAATTAGAATCATGAATTGTTTTTTATATCATGAGCAAAACAGCCCAATAACAAAATATATATTTCATTAATCCAATAAATGCTAATACGTCCACATGTCCTGTATTTTAACGGTGCTAGTAATTTAGCACTGCGTAAATGAGCTGGGATAGGCTTGTTTACACCAGCGTGTTGCTAAGCAACGACTGAACATGGCAATGGGTTGAGCGGAAAACAAGCCGCTCCGTGAATGCTCTTTAGGAAATATGAATATAAAGACTATATATTTTAATAGCAAACACTTCGGTTTCTTTCAGGTAGAACCAAAACTTTTTATTTTTATACGTTTTCACAGCATTAGTAATAACTGTGGGCTTTCTAGCAAAGAGCCTCACACAGCTATTAATCTCTGAAAGCTTTCAGCAGGCCGATAAAAACATGGGCTCCATCTATAGATCACTTGTAAAAGAGGCCATTGTGCTGCATGATAAGTTTATCACTGGCAGACAGTGTTTGGATGACTTCATAGATGATGCTGCAAAAGATCTGAAGGTAGGTGGATTCAAATCAGTGTCATTATCATACTTCTCTCTCTGACACCTTTTGATAAGAATATCATATTTGTTATTTGTTGCAGAACATGGATGCTCAGCATAAGAAGTTCATACTTGAAGTTGTTTCTGGGTGCATTGAGTACAAAAATTTACTGGACGTAGTTATCAATGTCTTCTATGACCAGAACGGGAAATGTTTATCCAGGGGTGATCGCAGCCAGTTTGTTAGTAAGTCAATGAACTAAACCACGGTGTACTCTTGTTAAATTTTACTCTAAATAAAACTAGATTATATATCTTTATAAGACTTTATAAAGATTTATTTATAACACTTGGCTATTTTGCTCTTAGTTATCTGTTACCTCGCCACATTTGTCCTTGATGACATTGGGCTTCAAACTTTCACTAACATTGTTAAATCTCTGGACATCAAGAAGATGCACAAGGTAAGAAATACAATTTCTAAACACATCAGTGTTGTTGCATAGGAAGAAAATAATTATATATATTTGTAATATGGTGCACTGTGTAAGTCTGTGTATGCCATGTTTGGTTGTAGTTTCTGAGCTTCGTCTTCACAAACCTCACCACATGGATACAAGAAGAGTGGAATAGTATCTATGATGCTGTCTATGTTGAGGAACATTGGATTGGCCCTTTGTTAAGGTAGCAAACAGTAGATTCCAGGAAAACCCTTCTCAGGCTGCTGACATTTTATATGAAGATAAGAAATGAAAACATATGTCTCTTTGTCCTTTAGATGGCGTCCTGAGATTGCTATTCTCATTGACCAGCTTGCTGACATGACATCTTGTAGGAGTCAGGTCAAGAAAGCTCCTATTAAAACGACTGAGCCAAGGGAGTTTGCTCTCACCAAACCTAAACCTCGAACTCTGCCTATGCCGGAGCTCATCCCACAGCAGGAAAAATGCAAACCAGTCAGGCTTGTTTATAGTTACATGCAACATTTCCTTCAAACATTGCTACACAGCTACTTTACATGTGTGCTGTCCTCTGTTTTTATGTAACAACCAACAGATATATCCTTAGAGAGAATATTGACCAAACACATCAAAATGCTGTAAACTGTGTGGTGAGTGTAATTTTGTTTTGTAGGTACCAAACAGCACCTACAGGGCTCCAAAAGAGATGCATATAATAGAGGAGATCAAACAAAAGAACCATCAAAAGACTGAGGTACAATGTCTGCTGTTACTTTTATCACCAGAAAAAGGCAAAATGACAGAAGATGATCTGCTATATAAATGCATTTTAACAAAACCCTAGCTATAAATAGCTATAAAAGCTATTAATCAGCAGCTGGAAAATGCAGTAAAAAATAGTTAAATTAAATATTAGTTAAATATAACACAGGAACATATTAGATTCATGTGTTGTCAAGTTATCAACCTTATTACAAGCAAGTGTAATGACATTCTGTGTTTTTCATCAAAGCAACTGCTGTATGAGGCAAATATGAACCAGTTCAGCTGTGTAAAAGCACAGAAGTCTGAACGCACCAAGGTAGGAACTATTTTCTGTCATTTATATGTATTGCCAATGTAATGATTTTGATTCATGCCCAGTGTAGAAAAAACAAGACTGTAGGAGGATCCCTCCTCTGTTGCATTTCCTGAACCTTTTTAAAAATTTTCTACATTTTTTGACCTATATAAATTACATTTATTTGACTTAATGTTCATTTTTCCTCAGTAATAAATTCTATTATATCCTTTGATTTGAGAAACATTTAGTTCCACTGGGTGGCATTTACATTTATTCTGAACCATCATTTGTTTTCCAGCAAGTGATGTCCCAGATTAAGGAAGACTTCAATTCAAAGCTCAAATTCAATTCATGTCACTCCTCTGGTTCGCCTTCTAATAATAAGGCAAGATCTAATTATTTTACCTGCTTCAGTGTTAATCTTTACTATCTATGTGTACTATATATAAATATTCTTTTGCTTGTGCTCATTTTGCTGATTCTGTTAGACTAACAACTGGTCCGTCAAGCTCAACAGTGCAGCTATCCTGAGGCAAGGGGCAATATATGACCGTCAGGTGGAGGAGGAACTGCAGAGGTACAGCACAACCTTCACCCGCCACTCCTTCACCTAGTTTGAGGGGATTATACTTCTCAACATAAACAGTATTAGTGTAATGTTGTATACTTTGTTAATGTTGTATATTTGTATTCATCTAGAAAAGGTATCCTTGATCTCAGTTAGGTTTTCTGAAAAATAAAGCTTAACTCAACCTGACTAAACAGGCCAAGAGTGTTGCTGTGTGTGTTGACACAGAATGGAGCATTTAATAGAAGGGGCACGCGAGCCCTCTTCTTTCCTACAGTGGCAGAAGGAGATGTGTGAAAAAGACCTTCAGGATAGGCTGGCTAAGATTGAGCTCAGGCGTCTGGAGGGACGAATCAGCTATGAGGAGGCTGCTATGGCCCGGGCACGGATAATGGAACGCAACCAGAAGACTGCACAGCTGAAGAAAGAAGAGGTGGGTAAAAAGCAATGAAAATGTAATTGCACAAAGCATGTTTGTTCTCACTCATTCTAAAGGGACTTACAATTATGCATGAAAATGTGTTTTTCATGGTTGCTTTCTTTCTTGTAGACTGCTGAGCTAATGCGGAGATATGCTGAGAAAAGGTTGCAGGAGGAAAAAGAAATGCGAGACTTGGTACAGCAAGTGGCAGGAGGACACAAGAACTCAAAAACAGCTAAAGAGAAGTTACACCAACTCAAGCAAAATATAGGTGTGCCTCCTTGTTTGACATCACATGTGATACAATTATTACTTTTTTCATAATTTCATATCCCTTCTCATAAATATTATACAAATTTCACAGTGAAAGAAGTCTCAGAGCAAAGTCAAGAGCTCCTTCGCCAAGCACTAGAGGAAGCACAAGCAGAGCTAAGCAAAAAATCTGAGCTCATTCGTGAAATCCAAGCCATCAGGTCGCTTCCTCACATTAGAGTCAGGAATTTTGATGACACAGAGGTGAGCTAAATGAAGAAGGATGTCATCTGACATTTCATATACTCTGACATGCTTCTTATGTCCTGGTTAATTCACGTCAGACTGCAGGCCATGAATTGCTGGGAGAGATGTCCCTGGCTGAGCTGAAGGAGCGACTAGCTATTCTGAAGAAAGCGCAGCAAATGGAACAACGGGAGAAACGGGAACACATTCTGGAGGTGAAACAGAACAAGAAGCAGCTGCTGTTGGAGCAGCTGGACACCATCAACATCCACAAGAGAGCACTGGCACAGGCTGCTGCCATCAGGTCAGGAAAATCTTTGGCTCCGACATGATCGTAGCAGTGGGAAAATGTGGGCAGAAGGAGACAGACATACAAACATACACACACACCATACAAACATTTATGACATTTCTGGCATGTTGCAGGAAAGAGGAGAGGAAAGCCAGGCTGGAGTTTCAACAAACAGTGACTCAGGATGATACACTTTTGGCTCTGCAGAAAAAGCTTGAAGAGAAACAGCAAGAGCGCCTCCGCCTGAAGCAAATTGAAAGCAACAAGGCCAAAACCAGAAAATCAAAAAAGGCAGCTGCACACAGTGTTATAAACACAGGGACACACAGCCAAGTGAGTATGAAATCCAAAACGAAGAAGAATTGACTTCACACTTTAGGTAGGCTGTAAGCTTTAGCTGCTTTAGTCAGTGTTGGGATTTTTCATGCCTGTAGCAGTAATATAATATTCCTCCCTGGTATCCCTCTTTATCATTTTGCCAGGGAAGTTTAAAGGAGAAAAGCTGGGAGGAACTGGAATTGAGCTTGGAGCGTCATATTCAGAAGGATGCTCCGTACGTTGTTTCTCAGATGGAAACATTCAAGACATAAGTATGTACAACATGTTGCAGAAGCCTTTGAATGTTTAATTTTAGATTAGGGAGATCAGCAGTGTATCAGACATACATGTTTCCAGAATAATAACATGAATAATTAGCATTTTATTTCTTGTTATACTGTTAAATTGGCATAGACTGCATTAAAATTGTTTAAGCAATCATGGTCACTGTAATTTTTTTGTGAGATTATCTGTAAATGAATACATTTATATCCCTAACTACTTTCTTGAACTGTGTATTACCATTTTGTATTGCATTTATAAGCTTATAGCTTTAAATGTGGCCCTGAGATTTTTATGTGCAACAAATATGTCAGGTTTTTTTTATTTTATTTTTTTATTTCTCCCCAAAGTAAATTCCACCCACTTGTGTATGTTGCATGAAACAGGAAGGACTTTCAACCTGCGACTTCCTCAAAACAATTTTGATGTTATTTCTGTAGCTTGTATATTTTGGTATCCAGTTACTGGACTGTAAAATAGACAATATGTCTTGATAGGAAATATCCATGACATAGGAGAACTGTTATGACGAGCTGTGTGTGAGTTGTTTAGGACCCAGTCAATATGCAGACTCGAACCCAGGCTAGACAAGAAAAACGTATTTAATGCTCCACGAAAACAAACAAAACAGAGCCGGTCTCGTCCGCTGATCTCGGGGCAGCTGGGCACACTGAGTTGACTGGACTACTGTCTCCCGGGGTGAATGAGAGGCGTTGCTCGCTAAATCAGAACAAAAAGAGAGTGTAAGAACAAGCAGCAGGTATAGTACAGATTGTTTCTGCTAGTCACTCTGGGGACCTGAACAGCTGAGTGCGCCGCAGGCCCAGGGAGTAATCCAGGGAGGGGGAGACTGGTGCCAGAGATCTCGGGTTCGGTGTGTGGGTCCCCTGATGAGGCAGCGCTGGTAGCTGAGCGGTGCGACGTAGGATGGTGGCGCTGTCCCAGGATAGCCTTGGAGCTCTGAGAGGTGGAGCAATTCACAAAAAGCAGTCCAAAAACCAAAAACTCCTTTAAACATGAGAAGACCACGAAAACCGATACAACAGAACAATGCGCAATAACAGTTCACAATGTTGCGAAAGGAGCGCAGATCACACAACGGTCCATAAACTTGAGGCCTGGACATGGACATGGAACGTAGTTACCAACAGGATAACACATAATAATCTGACGCTGAACGCTGACCCTATATACTGCTCCGATAATGGAGAGCAGGTGTGCCTCGTCGCCTGGAATGCACCCTCACCTGTGCAGGGGGCGGAGCTGCTGGAACTACCTGTGCCTGCTACCGAGGTACAGGGGGCGGCCCGGGTCACGGACGTAACAGAAGTACTGTAAGCATAATCACAAAAATCTATCAACATACTTTAAAAGAATTTAAACCCCAAGCGGTCATTTAAGTAGTTAACAGTTTTAGCAAGTGGGTTTGAAGTTAGCATGAATGTAAAGCAATCAATTAAAATGGAGAAACTGCTGCTTTAGATTCTATAGGTCAAACCATTGTATCTACAATACAACAAAAATCTGGCAAAAATGAACTTTTACTTTTTTACCTAAAAATCTGTTTGTTTGTTTAGAAAATTCACAGTGCTGCTCACAGAGACATGCCACTTCTGTCAGCTCAAAAAGAAAATGAGAATGTATGAAAGTGATAACATCACCACAGATTTTTTATGACTTGTCAAACTGACAGTGTTACAACTGACCTGGTGTTACAGCACTCCTTGCTCTCCCCTAGTGCAATATAACTTTTACAGTGAAACACTGAAATATTTTATTTGTAATGTTGATAGTTAAACAGCATAGAAGTAACACTATACCATGCAGTAAATGGGTAATATCATCCTGTATATTTTTGTAATGTAATGTAGACTATTAGTTATTGTCAGTTATCAATCGTTATTAATTTATTCTAAGTGAAATTTCTAGGATTTGCTTTTTTATTTTAAAGAGTACTCAGTCACATGTTGTGGTCTTCTTCAGCCAGTGAAGATTACTTTTATCATAGCTTTGTTTGAGCAGTTGTAAACCACTAGCCGACAAATGGCCGATGACAGTTTGATTCATCTTGGCTATCCCTGGAATAAATAAGAGCATTTCATTTAGAGTATAGCTTGCTTTACAGTGCTTAACAGTTCAACGTCCCATACAAGAAGCAGTGGCGCCCCTGCTGGCGGATCTACGTAACAACAACTGTTTCGTTTCCCTCTTAAGCAAAATCACATGATAAGCATGATCAGTATTGTGTCATATGACATTGATGCCAGGCGTGAGACATCTGAGAGTGAGACAAGTTTTATTGACGCCGTCTACAAAACAAAAGGGGATTCGACTTTTTGTAAAGGATGAGATGCAGTAGACTGACCTTGTTTGGAGCTCGATAATTCACAGAGGATGGAGTGTCGAGGACTGGTGTCTGCGATAGCCGCCGCTTGTTTCTTAGGTACGGTCTATAAGTTAACTCCTGTCCCATTAACGAAAACGCAGTAGTCTTAGGAAAGTCTAGATTATAACGGGGATAGTGTAGTCATATTATAATATAACTGTAATATGATATGCCGTGGTGTCAGTTTTCCACTTCGAATTAAAGTACCAACTGTTATCAGGTTTGTTATCATAGATTTGTACAGTGTGTGTGTGTTTAATAAAATATAAAACACAGTAAATATAAGAAACTTTTATGTAGTGAAAAGGGCTAAATTTGCACATGCTTCCTAAAATCCATGAGTTGCTTTACTTTTTTTTGTCAGGATTAATATGACTTTAATAAATCAGACCAGGTTTAAAAGTTGTTTTTGTACCCAGAACTTTCTCCTTATGAAAAATTACTACAGATTTATTTTAATAACTGGCTGTGTTTCTTTGGTATTATCGATGTTTTCTGTGGTATCTTTTTAAAATAACTGATCATTTCGACAAAGGTTGTTGTAATGTCTTTCAAAACTGTCAGGATTACAGCATTTCCATGTGTCACATTGACACAGGCGTTTGTCTAACAGTTTGAGACAGAGAAATGCTGCCAACCCAGAGATCACATGACCCCCTTTCTGAATAATTGCATTTCATGAGGAGGATGGCTTGTATTCAAGAAAGCACTTATTCACATGGCTTATGGGATTACTATCACAATATGAGCTCTGTTTGCTGATGTGCTTGTACCTGTTGTCCTCACTTTCATGCTGGATGACTGTTATACTTTAGATTGCCTGAAATATAAATAATGATAGAAAAGCAATTTCTACATAGCGCACAACTCTACTAGATTACATTTGCCAGCAATTTTTATTTGATATAAGATGAAGCTCTACTTTACTGCTACTCTAAATTTTTTCCTAGGGATGATTTTAGTTGTATTTGGTAGATATTATCATGCCAATGTATGTATGAGTGGTGTTTTGTCTGGGAAGTTAGTTTATATTAAGTTATTTGATGACATATAAAGGGGTGTGCTTCAGATGATTTGACAGCTTTGATTGGTGGCCTGATGCTGAAATTCAATTGCTCGGTTGCTACTGCGCAGGATCTGGTTGCACAATGCCAAGATGGCAGGTGCCATATTCACAATTTAGGCTTCAGTTTTGCATAGTGGAGGAAATGAGGAGGCCTCTTTTATATATGTTCTATGGTTAGATCCCCAGGCTACCAGTACAACCCAGATCATTGCTTTATAGTCACTGGCAATTTCAAGCAAATGAAATGACAAATTTGTATCGCAGCCCTGTATCATCCCACAGCCAGAAGTCAGATTTGAAACATCCATTGACCTTTTCTTCCAGGCCTGGTAGTGAGTCAAACCACACTCACGCCTGCTGTAATGAACACCACTCCTGTGGAGAATGTGACCAGTATGACTCTAACTCCTGTGATTCTCAGCAGCACAACTCTAAGCTGCTTTCCATTCAACACTTCTGCTTGTGAGCCCTGTGCACCAGGATCGCGATACGACAACAGTGAGTCAAAGACCTTGTCATCTAACATCAAGTCACCATTTTATTCTCTTTGATGTGTGAAGGTTGATCATAGAAACTTTATTATACTTCATTGTATTTATGTTTTAGGATATTAACTCAGTCTCGTTTACTAGATATTGGTACTGTCTGTACTGAGGTGAAAAGATAACCCCTATCCTCTACTGCAATGAATAAAATAAAGTCAAAGGAAAGGGTCTTCTGCCTTTCCCCAGACACCCTGCTGTGTACATGCTGTTCTGACCCCGGACAGTGTCTATCCCCTGAAGCCTGCCTGCCGTGCACCAGAGGATTCCATCAGCCACTAGCTGGACAGCAGCAGTGTCTGCCCTGCAGCCGGGGCTTTTACACTAAGTATGGAGGCCAATTGTGCAAAGAAACTGCAATATTTCTTTTACTTCTACTGGTATTGTATCTACTGGGCAATGTCTTGTTTATTTAACTTCACAGTTTCACTGGAAGTCTGTTCTGCCACCCCTGTCCTCCTGGATCCTTCAACAATAATACTGGTGCAGACAGTTGCACAAGTTGTTCACCAGGTGTGTTTATTTAGCTGGAGATAAAAACTCCTGGTAGTGTAGCTAATCAGTGTCGATATTCATTCAGACTAAAACAGCAGTATGTTTGTATTCAAAAATTCTGACTTGTATATTTAAAGTGTCTCTATCAAATCAGTTTTAAAGAAACTTGACTACTTTATATGCAGTGATCTGAGCACAGTTCCATATGATGTAAAACTTGATAGAAAACATGAATCACATGTGTTGAGTTATTTTCTGTCTGCTGCTTTCAGGCTTCTTTTCATCACAGCAGAGTTCCACTTCATGTACACCGTGTGCACTCGGGAATTTTTGCAAGTAAGTTGTACTTGAATGTCATCTGGTTCTGTTTTCTGCCATTGTTTGTAACCAGGAACCAGAAATCAGCATGGAACATTTCTAACTATTTCTGTGTCTGGAAAAAAAAAATCACTTATCTAATATCACATGCCTTCATCCCATGGCTCTGTTTGCCTGCACAGATGCCACACACATGCACACGAGGAGGTAATGGCAGGGCAAGGAACAAGAGGAACATTAAAGAAGACGTTACCACATGAAACTTGCTTAATCTGTAGCAATGGTAGAGATTGCTAATTAATGGAACACCCGTGCGGTATAGTTCAGATGTTTGCAGCCCAGTAATAAAATAAAAAATTAGGCAATGCTAGCCCTCCCATTTATTTGCTTCTTTGTAGAATACGTTTCCTAAGTCTAGTGAGGGTTTTTGTTCCATATAAACTGAGCTGTCAAATGAATTGAAAAAATGTTTTGGAATATAACTCGGTATGCACTAGAAAAGATATAGAAACAAATACATTATACAATTATACAACTAATTCAGTGAGCAAGAGATAAGAGACCGCAATGGTCTGAATCTTTGGTCACTTGAGCCACCAAAGGAGAAAAATTATAATTAAACATCTGAGTAGTTCGTAGTCACACAAATGCCAAGATATTTGAGAGTGTTTAAAGACGTTTTAAATGACAACTCAGAGAGAGAGAGAGAGAGAGAGAGAGGGCAAGCTGAGGCTGCAGCACTGATGGGTAAAAGTTCACTCTTGAGAAAGAACTTGAGATCTGCCTGAATTCTTTCAGTAAGACTAACACGTGAGATATGGAGCTGTCTGGGTCGGAAATGAACAGTAAGAGATCGTCATTGTACAAGGACACTTAGTGCTCAACCCCCCCTAAGATGCCTGTGGCATTTGGCCAGATCTGAGGGCCTATGCCAGTGGTTCGACAGCAATCTCAAAAATAATGGAGAAAGTGGACAGTCCTGCCAGGTGCCACGTTCGAGTGGAAAATACAGTAGTCATTGTTCATACAAACATGAGCTAAGGGAGACATGTATAAGAGCTCACTCCATGAAATAAACTTGCTGCTAAATCCAAATCTTTTTCATGTGTAAAAGAAGTATCTGTCTCTCTGACAGCTCGTCTGGTTGTAGTGAGTGCCAGATGTGTCCCAGAGGAACAGAAGCTCTGCAGACTGCCGCTAAAAGCTGCACACCATGTCGACCAGGTAATTCACATCAGGCAAACTAATAAGTGATGCTTGACTATGCTGCATCAGCCAAGTGATATCTGGTTTTGAACAGGTATGCACAAGGGTCCCCATCATACTATGTGTCAAATCTGTGGAAGTGGCTTCTTCCAGATACAGTGGGGCCAGGAAAGCTGTGATATCTGCCCAGAGAATCACTACTGTCCTGTGAGTACCGCACCCTTCACAATCCATTAGACAAGATACCACAAATATCATCATGTATGTCTGAGAGGTGTCCCGCATGTTTGTTCTACAGAGTCCAGATATAAACCCCATTCTGTGTCCAAACGATGCCTTCTGTCCAGCGGGCAGCTTGGCTCCAGGCTTCTGCATGGAGACATTCTTCCATAAAGCAGGGGACACTTGTGAGCTGGCTCCTGTCACCATTGCTCTATTAGTTATTGGAGGAGGGGGTAAGTAACAGTGCTGTAAAAAGCTGGAAAATAATTTACATTTTTAAAGTTAATGGGAAAAATATTCTAGCACGGTCTTGTTTATTCCTTTTAAACTGTATTAGCTAGCCAGGATGTATTTCTTATATTTAAATGCCTCGTTCATAATGCACCTTATCCTAGTTTCAACACCATGATAAAAGAATTGGATTTACAGTTATGCAGCTTCAAGTTGTTCTGTCCCATTATCATATACTGTAATTTGATTATGCAAAAAAACAGTAGTAATGTTATATAAGTCCCTTTGGATTACATTAGGAAGGCCTGTTTTCTGAGCCTAGAGGGACAGAGTATGTTTTTAGAGATGACACAAACTAAATATACAGTGTAAATTCACTTAGCAACAAATTACTCTTTTGTACAGGCTGAAATATTTTCATATAATTATTAATCAAAGCTGTCACAAAGTATAAATGTTTTATTGTCAAGTTGTATTTTTTTGTCCTTCATTGTTATTTCTTTCTTAAATTTGTATTTATGAATATTTTTTACATTTTAGTTCTTATTTTTTTGTTATTACTTACTTTTTATTAATATGTATTTAATTTGATAATAAGCATTTTCATTGCCAATTTTATATATAACGTGTTGTTCTGGGAATGTAGTTTGTGCCTTATACGGTATCATTTAGCCTCATGGAAAAATAAGACTTTTCTTTTTGCAGACTGGAAAAAGATGATTTTTATTTTACTGTTGCCCTGAGGCCACATTATTCCCAAAGAGGACATAATGAAATAATGAATTCCTGCTCACAAATCAATGCACTCTTTGTGAATGTTTAATACGCCCTACTGTAGATGGTCCCATCCTGTAACATGTTTTTCTTCTCTTTGTTTCTAGTGGTTTTACTCCTCATCATTTTAATAATTCTACGTCGACGGAAAGATGCTGATAGAGAGCTGGCTGTAGCTCGAGCTCCATTATTAGGCAAAGACCGACCTCAACGTCAATACTATGAGATCCCCGGTGATGCAGAACCTGTATATGCTGGCTGGTGAACCAGAGGACCTCAGTTTAGCTTTAGCTCAGTGCTTGGTCAGGCAAAGCCATCTATGGTCTCCACTAATCACAAAAGAACTGATAGAGGAAGACTGGTATTAAATAATGAGCTGTGCCTTAAGCATACTTTGACAATCCACCAGTTTTTTTGTGCGGGACATTTGAATATATTATTGAGAAACAGAAGAAGTTCATTTGTATGTGAAATCTTGTAGTTTGACACTGTTACAGTTGTTTCACCGAGAGATAAACAGTTTTCTTTTGTAAACTAGGTTACTGGATTATAGAAGGTATGCTAGAATGGTGAAAATGAAATGCCTTGACAGGTTGGAGATGTCTGTCTCTTTTGAAAAGCACTTTTTTTAAGCAAGGTAACTGATTTCTGTTGCACTTGTGTTTGTGACTCCATAAACACCGGTAGTTATTCACTGATGGAGAGTTGTACACTGTGGTTGGTGCCTTTTCTTTTCATTTCATTACAATAAATCATGTTGTCTGTAGTGTAAGTGATATATTTGCTTAATGTTTTTCATCTCACTTTTTAAGGTTGTATTTATATATATTTTTTTAAAGAAATGAAATAAAAGTGATGAACTTGAACCTGATTTTTAAGTCTACAATTTAAATTCTATTATAGACTAGCATTAAAAAAAGGTTGTTTTTTTTATCTTGGCAATGTAAACATTTTCCATTATTGTCCCTGATAGTGTAAATATCAAAGTACCATGCATATCAAATTTGAAAATGTCCTGCAATTTAATAGAAAAAAAGCCTCAGTTTTCCTTCAGTGCTGGAGACAGCTCTGGTTTTTCAGTTTTGGGAATGACACCTAATTTAGCCCTGAATTACAAAATAATTCCTCTGATGGGTCAGTGTGCGTCATGACATCTCCCATCCAGATACACAATACTGACTGTGCACTTTATGCCTCCTAACACTAAAGGTATGTTAGTGGAAATGAACACCTATTGTCCAAAATGTCTGCTTTTGGTAGAACAGGACTTTAGTTTAAGATTTTAAATGATATCTTGCCAGTGTTTGTCATAAAATATTATCATATTTTATAATGATAATATAATACCAGGTCAAAGAAAAGGGAACAGTCCTTCTGACAAGACTGTGGTGCCACAGCATTCTTTCAACATTCTGTTGATATGCAACAGGAGACTGTGACAAATGGCAGATCTCAGGAGATAAACATGTTTACAGAGTGTGCAAACACAGAGCAGAAACATAGATACAGCTGGGAGTTTGCATACAAGGGATAGAAGACTGAGTGGATACATGACAAATATCCTGCGGCTGAAACGTGCCTTCACAATGATTTTAGAATTGTCTGCGTCAGTGCGTTTGTATTTCAGTACTGTAAAGCATTACGGCTTAAACCCCCCCATTCACATTTTATTCAAAGATACAATATATAACTTTTTTTTCAAATATTTTTATTGTAGAAATCTGCTCCAAAACTTGGAGAGGTGCTGTCAAAGCTTCCTGTGATCCAAACTCACTGAACAGTGCTGGCAGCAGTGCCAAGATACTGTACTAGCTTCTAAATTGTTTTGAATGGGACTGACCTCTAACCAATCAGATATTTTCAATTATTTCTGCTTGATCAGTAAGTTTTGTTGCATTGTCATTTATTGTAATTTCATGACAAATAAATGAAGAGTGTTGGTGCAACATAACAGATTGGAGTTTCATGCTAGTGGTACCTTAAGTTACACACTGTTGCATTAAGTAAAAGTACATTTAGAGTTTATAGCAAAAATACACGTAATACTAAAAGTAAAGGATTGATCATGCAGAATGGCCCTTCTCAGTGTTATTTTACTGGTTATTTTTATTGTATATGCAGTATTTTGTTTGTTTATTTGCATTACATTGTTATAGGCGTAGTTTTCTATATAATGTATGCATCATAGTATATAAGCTCACATGTTTTCTAAAAAAAATTATAATCTTAAAAGTAACAAATGGCTCTCAAATAAATGAAGGGGGGCTGTGGTCAGTTAGAGATGGTATTATAAAGAAGCGCTAAATGAATTATTTCGGTAAAGCGCAAGTGTATTATTTAAAATGTACGTCCGTTTAGTACTTTAAAATATTACTGAGTCAAATGTACCCTAGTTAAATTTATTATATAGGAAGTATGAGTAATCATTTGGAAATGAGTATTGAGCTACATATCCGGTAATAGCCGCTAGATGACGCTAGTTTGCTGTGTGGCATAGAAATTGGCTGCGACAAAAAAAAAAAGAAGTTTGTCTAAACAGGACTCCGTAGTTTTGCCAGCAGTGAAGAGAAAACATGGCGGCTACTCTGGCCAGGAGGCTTTCTGGTGTGCATCTACAATTTGACATTCATATTTTTTTCCCCCCACTTCCTTCGCCTTGCACAGAAAAGATTTAGTATGGTATTCGTGTGCTCTTGTGAAGGATATGTGTGGACGCTTTGTTTATTAGCACCGATAGTAGATAATGAAATCGGTACATTAGCTAACTAGCAACAGTAGGTAGCTGTTAACGCTCGTTAGGTTTTGTCTTTGCTGTGACCCCTCGTGTGTTTTCATTATGTTTTTGTGTTTGGCAGGGCTGCTGAGGCCGCTTTCTGCCTCTCTATGTGCCAGGACACCCCAGCTATGTCAGCTTTCCAGCCTCACCCAACCCTCGCCTCTCTACACCTCCGCAGCAGGCGCTTTCTGCGCTCCTCTGCGGGCTGCGGCGAGTCAAACATCTCGGTACAACATCCTGCAACGGTAAAGACCAGATTACCACATTATACTGCAGATTTGCATCTTACTGTCAAGGGGCTACTTGTTGTAAGCGCATGATAGTGAGACGGTCACCCTTTATGTCCCAAATAAAAAGCTGTTAGCGGTTCATTATCAGATCAAACTCGATCCGGTTAACAAACATGAATGTCTGATGGAGTTATTCTGAAGTTTAACGAAAAGTATATTGGATTATAACATTATGAATGTCAGAATGGTCAAAATGAATCAGACTTACATGTGGGCTTTCTGTATTGTTCCAATAGATCACTGGAAATTTACAAAAAAAGGTTAATAAACAGACAGAGCAGTAAGAGTTCTGTTTGTTGTGTCAAAGATTGAGGATTAGTGTAAAGGCCGGTAAAAACAGGATGGATTAGGTTCTCCAGTGAATAGTTCAGTAGTAAGCATTTTTGGGAAAACATTCTGATACTCCTGTTGGATTTTTAAAAGTACTGATGCTGTGAGAAACTCAGTCTACTCGCCTCCGAGTTTCCTCCAACTGAACCATTATAAAATGGAGTACATGTTAATTAAACAATATTCAAGGGAAAAGAGCAGCAGCTCTTTTACACTGGAAGTGCTTAGTAAGGCAATGGATAAACGGAGTAACCAATACATTTTTACTACAGATTGTTTTTATGATTGTTTTAAGGCTGTGAGCACCCAAAATCTCCATTGTAATTTCTTTGGAAATTATAAGCTTTTACAAAAGGACTTAGTGAATACAGAAATCAGGTCTCCATAGGCAAAGAGCAAAGTATGGCATGACCACTCCCTATTTATAATTCTGCTGTCAAAGTAAATAGACACAACAGGATGTCCTTGTGTGCTGAATACTGCACGGGATCCTCTGCATCCCCTCTGCCACACTCATAACAGGGTGCCTGACAGCAGCATGGACCACACAGGACAGCACAAAAATGTAAAACTTCTCTTTGCTGTAGGAGTTGTGTCAGTAGTTTAACCAAATACAAACATAAAAAGCTTCTTTCAATAAACATTACACTTGATTTAATATAATTTCCATCACAAGTTAAAAAGCTCAGAGAGAGATCTCAAAACTAAAAATATCTGCATGGCTAGAGATCACTAGTGGCAGGTGAGAAAAGGTGGGTGTGTTTGTACATAAGTTGTTGTGTTTTCTCTATGTCATTGTAGGGTGGCAGTACTCCTTCCCAGTGTGACTCAGCATCCAAGCAGGAGTCTGACGTACTTCAGTCTGAAGAAGGGGAAGAGGAAATCTGTAAAACCTGTTGTAAAAAGGTTTATGAGGCTACACTGTGGCCTCTGGATCAGACGCAAGGTACAGTTGTTTTACTGTTTTCTTTGTACTATATGCACAAAAAAGGTACTGCATAGCCACTTTGTCTTGTTTTTGGGTGTATATAGGCTGGATACAAGAAAAAACTGTGGAAGAAGAAACCTGCAAGACGAAAGCGCCTGAGGGAACATGTATTCTGTAACAAAACACAGTGCAAGCTTTTGGATAAAATGACAACTTCTTTTTGGAAGAGGAGGAACTGGTATGTCAATGATCCATACCAGAAGTACCACGATCGGTACAACCTCAAAGTGTGATTTGCTGATTCATGTAGTGGCATCGTCGAACATGAATGTACTGATGTGATATATATATATAAAATTGTGCTTACTTTTGAATGTTTTTTTTAAATAACAGGACAAAATAAATGAAATGCACAATGATTTGCTTGATATTTAATGATTAAATTAAATAGAATATTTAATCCAGTGGAACAATAAACTGATAGCCATAAACCATCATGTAATTACATCACTGCTTTTATTCACAATCAAGTTAAAATTAATTAAGTAATCTGACATTCTGGCCTGCCAGAACTAAATTTCTTAGAATAATTTAGAGTGTCCCCACAAATAAAGTGAAAGTGACAAATTTACCAGTAAATAAGGTGATTGTGTGTGCGCGCGTGTCACCAGCTGATGGCCCTAACATGTCATGTTCTTTCTGTAAAGCAATCGAAAGTGACAAAAAATAATTGATTGTTTACCAGTAAGCCATCCAATGAGACCAACAGCTTCACACAACACCACTTAAGAAATCAATTTTTACAAACTAATAAACATCATGCAATGACAAGTTCCTCAGTCAATGCTCAACTGTACAAAACTGCTACTTAGCAACACATCTTTTTTTTTCTATTTTACTTTGCGTTAATTCAGTACAAGAAAATCACCTCCAACATGTTCACGGGTACTGTTAATGCTCAAACACATAATCATATTTTTCCTGTTTCATTTTTTTCATCATGTATCCATCAAAAAAAAACATTTCATGTGCATAATAAGTGTACCTATAATGTCAGAGTGAATGAAGTGTAAACAGAACAGTTGTACCTGAGAAGCTTTAGTTTCAAATGCCAAACCACCATAAATGATACGATGCAGAAAATTATAACTCTACTGCGTAAATCCCACCATCAACAACATACACAGTGATACCTTGTATAAAATGTTGCTAAGGTTCAGGCTCAGTAAAGTACAATATGAAAACAAAATGCATCACAATGCAATGTCTAAATGTAAGTTTTTAAACCTGCAAACTCCCTAACCTAGCTCTCACGAATTCCTAAGAAAACAGAAGTAAGTAGAAGGTAAGAACAGGTTTAGTGTCGCTCAGTCAACAGCAGATTATTACACAGTGATTTTAAACATGGAGAAACACCCATGTCTATATATACAGTAAATAATTGCTTCTTTCATGTTGTATTTCTGCTACAGCCAAAAGTGACTCTTTCCTAATTGCCAAATAAATTATCAAATGAAAAACGAGATGTGCTTAGACGCTGAACAGCAGATTGTCAAAAACAGTCTGCTCCACTGGGAAAATCTCTTGTAGTCATGACTTTCATCTGTTATCACTCTCAAGAGTACTGAGGGTGGTAATTTATATTTTTAACATAGTGCAAGATGATTGTTTAATGAGAACATAATTATGTCAACATGTATTGATGTGTATAGACATTTTCTATTTTTCTCTGCTATATCTTTCTTTAAGGCTTTAATAAGGAGGTAAACAGAATATTGTCTCTCACTGCTGTCTGACTTTTCGCTACTATATGGTGGGGTTATTTATGGAGTTATTTTATGGAGAATTCAGCTATTCACAGATGTTTCTCCAGAACAGACAAAGATTGAAAACAGCCTTGCCTTCTCTTTTGATCCTTGGCTTGTAACACATTCTGAAACGGTGATTAACATCACTGTCAGCGCCAGCTGTTGTATTCACTGATAGTACATTCTGTTTACAGTGTCAGGGAAGACACACATGCAATTGCCTACCCAAACCCGATATATAAAAACAATCTAACCAGAAAGATAAAGTACACATAAACTGTACATAAATACATATTCAATAAGCCAAAAACTCAAAGTTATCAGCACGGAGCCCACTCACTCATTTTTCCTAACTCAGTGTCACAAACCTCATTTATGAAACCATGAGATAAATTATAAAGAGGGATTATCATAGGTCACTTTGGTAATACCTTGTTCCAAAGCAATGCTGCTTCAGTCATGTAGCTTTTGGCCATTCAGCTTTTTTACTTCTTGCAGCAAAGGCAGCTGGAGTAGTCTTGAAGAAAGTTTCACATGGCTTCATTGGTTGAAGAAAGAGCTCTCCTGGATCTTGTGAGAGGCCTTGAGACTCTATGAGGAGGCTAAGAAGGAGGCAGAAAGCAAAGGCAATGAGTTATATTATTTATAAAAGATATGGCTGGGGTTAATTGTATTTTTATTGCTAGCAAATCCCATGAAAAGACCAAAACCAACAATATGTCAGTCCAATCTTCAATATTTTCAACTTCTTAACACTTAGTCCAAAACCCATTTGTTCCTCCTGAAGATGAAAATCTTTAAAATAATGTCACAAATAGAGCGTTTCAGTTTTAAAAAGGTTTAATAATTTCCCAATATAGATGGGCATGGCAGGTTTTTGCTAAAACAGTGGTGCATTTGTTTTCGGGGCTATTTTAAGCTGCAGATTAATACACACTTGGTGCTCTGGTGACTATTTATGGCAGCGGGACAGTGAATCTGGTATTGACTCAAACTATACAGTACCCATGTTCACTGTAATAAAGGGACATTATATATTTGTAACACATACTGTATCTATAGCACAGAGGAATAATGTTAGACTATACAGGCAATATTTATTTATTAGTGTCAATGAATTGGTTTTGGTCTTTTAATGGTATTTGCTAACTATAACAAAATATAGATGATTGCTTTTATTATCCTTTAAACAGTGATGCTTCATTTAGTTGGCAATCAAGGAAAAACGATAGAAGTTGAAATTTATGAAAGGAATACCAGTTCATTCGAGGGAGTGATTTAGCACAACTATTTCTATGAACATCTCAGAAGTGAAAGTTACTATAACTGGAAGGCAATCCATGTCAATACGTAAACATTTCACATGCCACATTTCCAAACATGAGTCACTGCAGTCATACAGAAGCACACACTAATTTGCACGATAAATAAATAAATCCACTAAATATAATGGATGAATCTGCTTCATCAAAAGTCGATTCAAGAGCCACACTCTCCGCACCATGATGATTTATTTTGCTACACAACAGTAGAAATTAGTGGATCAGTAAGCCAGTCACCACTCTCAAGGGGCAGTTAAAATCAGGCAGCAGCTGGGCAGCCTTGTTGATGAGGCATATACCTCAGGAGCCTTCCTCTTAACCAGCCTGAGCTGTGGAGGACTCAACACTACCTGCACCCCTTTCCCCACTTCCTCAGGCTGCTCAGGAGCTGGAGGTGTAGGAGATGGAGAACATGTGGAGGGCAGAGAGGACTGGAGTGTCAGTGAGGGCGTAATGGGTGTGGACTCAGACTCAGAGGGTGAAAAGGTCTGGGACAGCAAGTCCTTGGAGTCCAGTTGGTCCAACGCCAATACCTCATACTCAGTCATGTCAAAATCCTGTCCTGTACCATGGAAAAAGGTGTTGAACAAAATATAAATCCTGTCTCTGATCTACTGAATTGAAAGCCAAATACTCCTTGTAGTAAATAGGCAACTGGTTTTATGATATTAAAATGCATCATCATCCTGCAGACCATAGAGCAAAGGTCAAATAGGAAGCTGAGATAAATACAAAACAATATGTCGAAGCACAAACAAGCATAACAAAGCTGCTCTCATTATGTCTCCTCTGAGTTATGGCCATGGTGTGATGCAAAAACAGCAGAAAGCCAAAACACAGAGTCTGAAACATCATTGAAATGTAGTTAAAACATGTTTGAATCATCTTAAATGCTAAGTTTGGTGAGAGTACATATTTCTATTGTCGACAGATTGTATGGAAAGAGCAAAATCATCAATAAACTGATCGTATGAACAACTGGCCAAAGCCTTATATACTGTAGCTTGTTTCTCATTATTATGTATTAATGCACAAAATAAGAATTGTGGTCCATGTATTTCTTCAGTAGAAACCAATAGGCTTGACAGAGATGAATTTTGCTTTGTCCATGGAATTTGTTAACAATAAAAATACATATAAACACCAAAATCACCTTTTAATTTAGTAAGAATTTAGTTTAATATTGAGCAGATAATTATCACTGGAGAAAAAAAAGACACCTAGATTAAAACAAACAACAGTAGTTTCCACAAGATCTTAAACTAGGAACAAATCCTCCCCCTTAAGCTACATGTGTGTTTTATCACAGGAGGCCTGACCTGCTCCAAACAGGAAGACGGGACTGAAGCTGGGGTGGGGAGTGCACTCAGGAAAGCAGAGCTACTACACAGTATCTGCAGGCTTAAACAAGCTCTTACAGGAAAACAGAATTCTGCATGATAGTCTGTCCCACACAAATGCAACAGGCACCTATACTGTATATATAATCACACTATTTGAATAGGTAGTGTGGTAGCTATTCATTTTATCAATATATTGTGAGTTTTAACACCACAACAGATTTTTAATATTGCCTCTGTGACATTATCTCCTAAGTCACTTTTCATAGAGGCTTTTATGTGTCTCAACAGGCAGTTAGCCTGTAATGTCACCTCACCCTTATTGTAGCTCTCTGACTTGCTGCGCATCATAGCTCTGGTCCGCTGCTGTGATGTTGCAGGCTCTGTACTGCCAGGCCTGGTGTTAATGGGCTCAGACTCATAGGAAGACAGATCCTGCATGCTGAAACTCCTCAATCTGTCTGACAGAACTCCTTGACCCTAGAAGGTGAAAAAACAGGCTGTGTTTTAGTGTTAGCAGCAATATAAAACAGTTAGATCACGGATCATCTTTAGGGGCAACATTATTTGGTACTTTACTGGATCTTCTACTTTATAAACAAATATTTAACAGATTTATTAAATAAGCCTCATTATTTGAAAAGCAAACAGCCTTAATACTCTTATCTACAATGACCATGTAGTGTACCCTCAGGACAAATGTCCAGAGTCTGCATTACCTTTGCTGCAGCCATGACAGCAGCTGTGGCTGCAACATTCAGCCCCTTTCTCCCATAATGCACCAGTGTGTCATAGCTTTTGTCCTTGGCTTGGCAGATGTAGTCATCAATGTCCTGAAACAATGGGGGAAAAGCCTCGTGAACATAGTGTCACAGTCTTTGTGTCACTCATTTCTGTGATGTTTGATCTTCACAAAACCCACTTCTTTGTTTCTTGACTCACACACTGAGGAAAAAGGAAAAGTGGCGCTTCTGTTACTAAAGACGTCAAAGAAGACACAACAACAAGCGGGGATTCACCTTTTCTTTTGAGGAAAGCGTGGGATGAACAAACTTCCTGTATAGAACACTGGAGCCTTTAGTGTAAGGGGACAGCAGCCACACCACAAAGGCGATCTTCACTTCATAGTAGAAAGGAAGCCTGCAGCAGAGACACAGGATGGCAGCAAAATGTGAAGATATGCAACCTGCTACATGTTTTTCATGTCTCTGACAAAATATGACAAAGACACAATAGGGGAGATGAAGTGTTTTCCATGGCACACCAATTAACAGTAAATACTGTATAACTGAGGTCACTTACCAACAAAGAAACAGATCTGAAAATACTTCCACAGATGTAAATAGAGCAAATATTATCCAGTACATCATCCATTTCACCTAAAATGTCATGGGAAAGTGGAAAAACTGTTAATACAGCCACACATAACACCTCGTAGAATCATATTTATGAGAAAGACAAGACCAGGTATCGTTACATAGCTAGAAAATGCAAATAACATACTCACATATTCTTTCACATCTTTTGACTTCACAGCTTTATACGATGAGTATGCAGGATATAACGTCCCAAACACAAGACTGGAAGACAGACAATGTCCCAGTCAACTCCAGAAACAAAACCCAGCAACAATGCATTTTGACATTTAGTTAAAAAAATATGTATGAATAACATAAGGTCACGGTATTTCAAATGTATTTATGGACAATATATTAAAGGTTAAGCAGACTTCACATTATGACCCTTCAGAGCTGCAGCTAACATAACTGATGGCCAGGTTGTAAACCTAGAAAGCCACTAAGACTCTATTTTAAACCAGCCATGCTAAAGTCCGATGTTGCCCTGGCTGATTTGCCTCCACAACCCATCCAGGTGACAAACTGACATTTCTATTTATGTGTAGACACCGGTGCTGATGGGTGTCCGGACGCACTTGCTACAACCAAGGAACAGCTGTGAGTGCGCCTGATCGAATTACTGACCCACATCATGTTGCACCACCCTGGCCTGACCAGCTAACAGAGCTTGGAAACACATGACCACTCAAAATAAATGTATCAGCTCTGGGCAGCTAAACGTTTCTCCCGGAGATTGGACCTAATGACCTATACATATCAACCAGAGCCAAGACTGTCCAATCTGTGTAACAAGATCTTTTAATCTAAATTCAATTGCTTCACTATTCTGAGGTTTGGGCCTGCTGTTGGTTTACTCCACACACACAGTCTGTGATGGCGCTGATTCATAATTTGTGCAGGTAAAAATAGCGATAACCCACTGTACTATATGTTATCTCATTTAAATTTTTAACTATAAGCACAGATGTTGAGATAAGCATGCATAATATGTATAATTCTTGGATTGTAACATGAGAAGGCGGACCCATCCCTTGTGTGTGTTTTTTCCCAATATGGGACCGTCAACAGGGAATATACAGTAGTTCCACTCGGAGACCGCTCTTGTTGTTCAGTCACATTTAGGCTTCTGCCACTAAAAAAACGCCTCTGTTGCCTAGATTTGATTCTTATTTACATCTATAGGATGATAATAGATTATTCAATCACGTCATCTCTTTGTTTGTAATAAAAAGCCACTTGATACACGCAAAGAATGCCAGGCTGCGCGCTGACAGCGCTGTTTAGAAACACCACAGTAGGTTTACACAGGCCCAGTTCATCCCGCTGAAATAGCAGGTACAGTCCTGTGGAATTCGCACAGCTTTCTTCGGCAACATATAAGAAACCGATATCTTCTCTCCTTACACACGGGCGTCTACTTGTACATGACAAAATAACTGTGGGGCTTGTGGAGCGCGCCGCTCCTGCGTCGTCTGTGTGCATCTCAAATACACGCAAATACTATAAGCTGCAATTTATTACTATTCTGTCAAGAGCGTATGGGATGAAATAAAATAAAAAAAAACGACTTACACCACAAGTCTAGAGATGATCCAGGAGACCATTGCGCTGGAGAGGCGACAGGACGCGCTGTCTACGGGGAGGAGTCGGGATGATAGGCGCGTCCAGGCGGCAGCGTCTGACGCACGCACACAGCAACGTGACGCGCGATAAACAGTGAGCAGCCCGTGATCCGTAGAGGGCGGCGGTGCATGGCAGAAACAGCTCGCAACATGGGCGTCCTCTGGCTGCAGCTCACAGTTATGATTATTATCGATCAGTGTTTTCGCTATTTTGTTTAGAACTTGTCAAACAACGATGAACATGGTCATAATTTTATTTTTGTCAGCAGTTTAACTTATTGTTTGTTCCACTTCAGAATGTGAGTACAATACAAACTAAATTAACAAAAGGGTCTTTAGAGTCGAGACAGAGCCCAAATATTAGTTGATCTTTTATATGTATCCTGGAAATTGCCTGCTCGATTATCAAATAATTGATAGGAAGTATAATATTACAGAGCCCTAATGTAGTGGTCAGTTATAAAGGAGTTGATGGTCTATGGGTATTTTACATGGTCATAACCTTGTGCTTTGCCGTCAATTAATAAATAAATAGCTTTTGATCTTCACACTACATATTTACAATAAATGTACTGTACATCATGAATGAATCAATAAACAGCTGAGATTTATCTTGCCTTTTTAGAATAAGAGAAAACTGAGCAAGCTAGGGGATGTCTGAATGGAGGAAAGAGATCTTTCCTGATCCTGAATATTCCTGACCAGTCATTAACCTGCGAGCACCTTCTTAGTTAGAGCTCCAGTACTTTGCTCTGTCCTGCCTCTGACCTACATACTTGGAGCATGAGAAAAGAGCCATGGTTTTGTTACAGTACAACAAAAGCTATGGTGGCAGGTAGAAATCTAATCCTTTGGTTCATTTTAAAGCCAAATGAAGAGCCTCAAAACAAAGTAAACCCAAAACTGCACCCCCCAAAAGACAGATAATGCATATCAACAAGGTGTAACCTGATGCAATTCTACTCCCATCATGTCATAAGTTAAACATAAGGGCAGAAATGAACAATCTGACACAGCTTGGGAGTCATATCTCCAACATGTGATTACTGATGAAGAGCAGCGGCTCTGTGCTGTTCATACTGAGAGCACAAACAGATATAATACATTACTCCTGTTGGCAACCTCTGTACTTAAAAGTTTATTTCCTTATTTTCCCCCACTCACATAGAAAACTTACACACATAATACTTCAACAGTACATAGGTTCCTTATTAACCACGTTTTCCATTTCCACTGCATCTTCCTGCTTCCTGTGATACAAAGTCATACACCGAGCAAGCAGAATGTTAATGAAAGAAACAGGTTAGGGTAGTATGCATGCATTTTGCTGATGAGTGTACTTCACACGTACATGTACCACATATAGAATAGATACACTTTGACTGCACAGGAAATAAACTATCAAAAGAAAAATTCACCCCTCACCTTTAGTGTTTCAGATAATAGTGGCCAGTTACTGGTCTACAGAACATCTGCACCCACAAAATGTATTCTAACAGATTAGAGCTACTGCTGAATCTAGGATGTGATTTATGTGCAGGGTGGCTTCCATCAACCATTATTCAACCACTTGTTTGGATAATAAACACCCAAGTGCCTCCACCAACAGTCCATAACTTAGGACAGGAGAAGAATACGATGAAGCACTTTAGGCACAGCAGGCTTTTCATACTTACATTATATACACTCTCTTGAACCTTCTGTTTGACTTTGGATAATAAAGACATACCAGGGGCTATCCCTGATAATTAAAGACAAAAAGCAAAAAGAAAAACTTCTCTGGCTGAGTAGACCAAACATTCTATTAAAAAAAAAAAACTTTTTAAAGACAAACTGTTGTAGCACAAAATGAATCCAAAGTGATTATATGAAATAATATTATTCATTTGAAGCAATTAGGATGCTCAGCACTGTAAACCCTGCAATATGATTGTCTCTGTCCTTTATGGAGTGAGCAAACTGACTTTGGACAGTGGCAGTTCACCTTAGCTCCTCAGTGCTGCCAATCTGGACTGCATTGCTTCAATGTCCTCCTCTGACTCGTCCACTTCCGGTTCAGGCAGGGCATCTGTGACTTTGCTTGGTGCTTTGCCAAGTGCACCTAACAGAGAAAATACACTCATGAAACAGAGTTGACCTGTGGTTCCGGCTTAAATTCTTAGGGCAGAGACACACCAAGCCAACATGAAAGACCTAGCAGCGACAAAGGCCAACCTCTGCGTCACCTCACGTTACCTGTATCTGGGCCAGTTGGGTTAAAAAGTGGCACCTGAACACACCGCAATAACTTCCTGTCTGATAAGAAGTTGCAAATGACACTGCTGTTCTCTGCCTTGCTCTTTTGGTTGTGGAAGAAGAAAGGAGGTTGTGGAGGTGAAAAACTGCACTATATGGGTAAAATCATGGATACTACAGTGACAGGCTGATGGAGCTTTCCTGAACTAGTCTATTCTCATGCATTGATTCGCTACGCATAACGCCCAGTCAGACTGGTCTCTCAATCTGCGATAAGGCCTGACCACCGACACCGATTCAAAACATTAAGGTGATCAAAAAGCCGCTGACACAGACTGGCTCGTGCCAACGATTTGGGACAGACCGGGAAGACAGATGCTCACTGATGGCTGGCCGTCAGCTTGGTGTATCTCTGCCCTTAATAAAGTTACCAAAACCTTAAGATTAGATACGAAAACCCCATTACAAAACAAGAAAGTAATGTAATGTAATCTCTTCACCTGCTGTGATATCAAAGAGGATCTTGTCAACTTCCTCCTCTGCTGCTTCCTCCATCTCTTCTCCATCTTCCATGCTCTCAAACGTGTCTTCCAACATCTCCTCAATGATGCCAGCCTGAAAGATGAATATAATGTGTACATAATGGCATGGTCTAGCAACTATTTGCTTGAAAGAAATAATGAAAGATCATAATTGGAGTCAGTAGCAGAACTGCAATTTTTGAATGCTGCTGTTGACCTTCGTCATCTCCTTTGATAGCTCCCTCATGGTGGCCTGGATCTCTGGGATTTTGACTAGGCTCTGCATGGCTTTCATGACCTCTGTGCTCTTCTGCAGGGCCCCTGCTACACGCAATACGGCTAACAAAACACAAATGCTTTCCTTTCACTGACAGCACTGAGCAGAACATTAAGTTCTATGATAAAAAGGCATGACAATAAAAATATAATACAAATTTGAATAAGAACATTTTCCACTGTCTAATAATCCAGCTGTTGTATTCCCAAACTCACCCAGCTGGTTCTTCATGCTGAGTAGCACAGAGTTCATCTGGGCTTTTGAAGCGTAAAGTTTTGTGATAGCTCGTTTTGACTGAATCATCTCCTTTGCCAGAATCACACACACATCCTTCTGGCCCTTTTTGGCAGCATCCTTGATGGATCTTTTAACTTTTTCTTGTTCCCTTTGAATATCTGAAACAAAAGGGCATGTCATTACATACAACTACAAGGTAATATCTCATATAATTAGATCATTGACTGTAGCAAAATTCCACACAAATTAATAATCTTAATGAGTAATTTCCTCTACTGTAAAATCATTTCTATTTTTATGCTGGATTTATTTCCTCTTACATCTTTCTGGCCAAAAGGATAAGAGAGTAGTTGTCAGTTGAAATGTTCAATGTACTATAAGGACTCTTAAGAGTATGTTTTATGTTTAGCCGCTATATATTCCTAATTAAACATGATTATCTCTGCAGTTTGTTTTTAGACAGAAATCACAAAACAATAAACTACTTCAAAGCCAATGTATGAACTGGATGGCCATTTCACACAATATACGTGAACTGGACGGTCATTTTACACTTAATACACATTTATGTTTCACATATTTAAAGCTGTTCTGTGGTAGCTAGTGTCAAATGCCGACTGACTCTTACCTCGAATTTGTCTATCAATCACTCTCATTTCCTTCCTGATTTTCTGAGACCACTCATTGATCTGAAATGATACATTAGAAGAATAAACATTGTACTAAAGCGATGTATAACAAATAAAACAGTTACAGATAACAAGGTCAACCGAAGCAAAGACGATGAATTTGTTTACATTCGAGCCACTGACGACAGACTTGTGTTAGCGGTTGCTTATATGCTAACTAGCTAGCAAGCTAGCTGTAATAGAGAAGGTAAAATAAGATTTGTTAACTAAATGGGGTGTATACACGAACATAAGTTCTAATACGGTAGAATTCGCGCAAAACAACCTAACAATGACTGCTAGTTAGTCAGTTAACAAAAGTAGCAACAGGACAAAGCTATGTTAAACTGACAGCTAACGTGAGCAAGGTTAGCTAAAAACAATGCCGTTTTTTTCTTCCTACAGACAAAACCCACAAAGACAGTCATGACCTTTAGAGGTCAGTACTCACCAGATCTTTTGGTGGTTTCTCCGGTGTTCTACCGAACAGCCCCATTGTGACTGCTAAGTTAAATGCCAAGCTACCCTAACTGACTACAAGTAGCTCACTAGCTAAGATTGTGCAACTAGCACTTCCTGCTTTCGGCCAGGCTCCCCGGGCTGCGTACGAACATGAAGAAACGCTCAGTCCCTCGGACCCTCAGCAAGGTAACAAGGACAAGTGTTCAAGTGAAGCTGGAATCAAAGGACACACATGGTCTTGGTAAATGGTCTTAAACTTATATAGCGCTTTGATGTGTATTGCAGCACACGCAAAACGCTTTCAAACTATTTGGCCATTCACCCATTTGCACTCCCAAGCACTCACACATTCACGCACCGGTGTCATCACCGGGGACAACTTGGAGTTCAGTGTCTTGCTCAAGGACACTTAGACACGTGGACTGGACAAGCCGGGAATCGAACCACTAATCTTCTGGTTAGGAAAGGACCAGCTGGTAAAACTTATTAACACAGGAAAGGTCTTTACATTAAACATCCCCGGTACATTTATGACCGCTTTTGTTAAAGAAATTTCTTATTACATTCTGATTAGTAAGAGAAATCTACATTTCAGATATCTCCATTAATTTAGCACATTTAATTACTAAACACATACATGTTATTACTAGCCAAAATTAGGCATAAGTTTTCCTTTATTATTATTATTATTATTATGGTGCTTACTTGTAAAAGAGTATAATAATTTTATGTTATTACATAAGGACACCAAACTCCATGTACCAGCTAGAACAGGAGCGTTAACAGGTGTTGTACCCCGTACTTTTACCATACTGACTCTGAGAGACGAGGCAGTCCAAGTAACTACAAAACAGTACTGATTTATTCAAAGGATCACAGGTAAAATTAACATTACACGCTCAAGTATCTTGCACCTCCAAACTGCACGCAGGCAGATGTAAGATGAAAGACCCTGAGCCCACCAGGCCTATACATTATATCTTTTCGGTTGGGCTAGCCCCATACTACACAGAAACATCAACCGAGACGTCTCTGTTGCCAGCTTTGCAGCTGGTCATAGCAGTAGTCAAAACATGAAGCAAATCAATGTGTGAATGTGTGTGTCTGTTGGTTAAATGGTGTGTAACTAAAAACATTCTCACGACCTCTAGTACATGTCATGACTTAAACATAAGAACATATTATGGCTAAGACTACAGTTATACACGTCGTAATAATAATATTAAACACCCTGTCTGCTGACAGTCATCAACTCTTCTCTCTAGTATCCTTGACCAGATGTACCCTGTAGAAACTCATAAGCATGCTGAAGCATTTAACAGTCTAACTATACATCCTATCTCCACTAAACATTTCTAATACATAAAGTATCTAACCAATATCTATCTGGCTAAAAATACCTAACACAGGAGAGTCAGAAAGATGTCAGTGAAGCATAATTTGTAATGTAATGTAAGAAAGGGTGTAATTAGAAAGTTAATTAAAAACACCTGTGTTGGTATAGAGGCTTTAAACACTGGATCTAAATACTTCCTGTCCACTGCAGCATAAAGCAATGCTGGTCCAAAAGCAGACATTTTATAGGCTAAACCTGAATATAACACCATCCTTAGTCCCTTTCCTTAGTCCCTTTAAAGGTTCTGTCTGACCTAGAAACCCCATGAAAATTTAGACACTTCTAACAAAGGCAGAAATATAAACCCAGAGGAAGAAAGATGTTATTTACTCTAGTGCTGCAGTTATACTTCCATCTGATGCCATACATTTCAGAGTGAAACATTGCAAACCTGTATGTTGCATTTATTAGACAGTTATTGTAACTACTTGCTTTTTCTCTCGTTCTTTTCACATATTCAGTTATTTATAGTACATATTTGTTGTTATCATGGATACAGGAGCTCTCTTGATACATCCATGGTTATTGTCGTATGGCCAGACCACACTTGTATGATTGTGGATAGAATATTTATTTAGAAACAGTAATTTCATAAATGTTAACAGTGCACACGTCTCTCCTGAGATCTGACAAACGCTGCCTGACAGATTAAATTCAGGACAAATATATATGTTTGATCACTATTAACCATAGTGCCTGTGACGTATTATAGTCTCTTTTCCAAGACATTCTAGATTTTTCTGTTATTGATTGGTTGACGCACCAATCACGTAAGGACAATGACTGTGACGCAACCAATCAGAGACATCTGGGGGCGGGCTTGAGGATGGGTGACGGTAGGTCCGCCTAGGAGTGGGAGAGTCCGCTCTGGACATCATTGCTACCTAGGATTATTCTGAATGAGTTTTGCTATAAACAGCTGACTTACATAACACTTCGTAATTCAGTTAGTGCACTCACAGCTATCTGTCTGGTGTATTTCCAGAGGAAAGGACACGTTTAACTACATTTTATTTTGGTATAGACCGCCATTGTATATATTTTTCTCTTAGAGGTGTCAAGAGCGGTCGTTGCGGAGGATAACTTAACACGAGGTGAATTTTAGAGCGCTCATTATGTCAGTGGTAGGCATTGATGTGGGTTTCCAAAATTGTTACATCGCTGTGGCCAGGAGCGGTGGCATTGAAACCATTGCCAATGAATACAGTGACAGATGCACACCGTAAGTATAAATATTGACAGCCATCATCATCACCGTGTAATGTGATCTGACTGTTAGTTTGTTACGCAGTGTTTGCCACTGAAGGCTCACCAGCTGAGCTGTGATGGTACAGAGGCAGCAGGGATGGTGGTGGTAGCAGAGCTGAGGCCTGTAACTATTCATCATCACAGCAGGTTAACGTAGGTCAGAATGTCGCATGTAGCTTTCTTAATCGACAGTTGACATATCTCCTGTCATTCACCACTGTGCTGTGCTCATGTGGACCACTGTTCCTGGAAGGACATTTAGGATGTAAACTGGAATATATTTGCTGCAGCATCCTGCAAGCAGGGATGTGCAGCTGGAAAGGAGAATGAGCATTGCACCTTTAAGTGAATGGATATATTTTTGTGGCAAGGTGAAACTAGGGAGTGACTTGTCACTGCAGCCAGTAAATATGAAATAGATCCCTAGACCTTGTGTGATCACAAGCATTCAATGATTTACTTTTTGTCTGCTAAAAGAGTTTGGGGGGTGGGATATGTGTTTTGTTTTTGGAAAACAGGAGCTCAAGTTTGAAGGTGAACTGTTGAGTCTCACTGCCCTAGTCTGTGCTTCTTCCTCAGACTCCCTTGTGAAATTTCTTTAATTAAAAACTGCCTCTCTAGTACTCAGATTGTGTACTTAAGTAAAGTAGCAATACCACAATGTAAAAATACTCTGTTACAAGTAAAAGTCTTGCATTCAAAATGTTACTTAAGTAAAAGTGTAAAGGTATATAAGCATATAAGAAAATATGCTTAAGGTACCAAAAGCAAAAGTACTCATTATGCAAAATGGCACAGTTTATAATGATGGTACATCATATTATTTCAATAGAATTATTGATGTATTATTGTGTACATCACATTAAATGTTGCAGCTGGTAAAGATGGAGCTAATTTTAACTATCTTATATGTTTATAATTTTAATTACTGCTGGGCTTATGAATTTTACACCAAGGTTAGCTCACGATTACACAGTATTTTGTTGTATTAACCTATTTTTGTAAAGCAACTAAAGTTATCAAATATATATATAGTGAGTACAAAGTACAATATTTTTCCCAGAATTTTAGTGAAGTTGAAGTAGCAGAAAAATTAAAATACTCAAGTAAAGTATAGATACCTCAAAACTGTACTTAAGTACAGTACTTGAGTAAATGTACTTAGTTACTTTCCATGTCTAGTTCTACCTTGTAGGCCACATCTGTTAACAGGACTATTTCTGTTGTAGCCTTCCTAATTTGCAGATGTGTTTGTCTTCCATCAAGGGCTTGTGTGTCTTTGGCCTCAAAAAACCGCATGATTGGAAATGCAGCCAAGAGTCAAGTAAGATCATCCATTTGTCAGCAATGAGCAATTTATGTTGTAAAAGCAATATTATACACTGAAGTGATAAGAAATCCTGTGACTATATTATTTTTATTTATCATTCTTACAATTCACATTTACAAAGTAAGTTCTATAAGACAGGTCTTTACAAAATGCATTTTCCTATTGCAGATTATAACAAATTTCAAAAATACAGTCCATGGCTTCAAAAAGTTCCATGGCAGAGCATTTGATGACCCATTTGTTCAAACGGAAAAACTCAAACTGCCTTACAGCTTGTATAAACTGGCCAATGGAAACACTGGAATTAAGGTAAATCCACGTGCAGGCTTCCAGCATGTTCTTTTCTACTGCTTTCTGTTTTTTTTTCCTCTTTTTCTCTGAACCTAAGCTTTTTCTGCTCTCATCACATACCTCTTTTAATTCTACCATGACACTGATCATGATAAGTATTGCCTGTGCGCTTAATATGCTTTACTCTCCAGCTTTTAATTAGTCTTGGAGGTCCTAATTATATCGTGTTTGCAGGTGCGTTATTTGGATGAGGACAAAGTGTTCACAGTTGAGCAAATCACGGGGATGCTGCTCACCAAGCTGAAGGAGACATCAGAGAGCACCTTGAAGAAGCCTGTGGTGGACTGTGTCATCTCTGTGAGTAATAAAACCATTATGGAGAAGCATTAATGTAAATCACAAAGTGGCTCATTGAAACATAATATATTGCTTTGCGCCCTCTCTCTCTCTCTCTCTCTCTCTCATAGGTCCCAAGTTTTTTCACAGATGCTGAAAGGCGATCAGTGTTTGATGCATCTCAAATCGCAGGCTTAAACTGTTTACGGCTGATTAATGATACAACTGCAGGTTTGGAAAAACTGGTAGTAGTGAAAGTTCCCGATTGGGTGCACTAGGGACTAAAGGTGCAAGAACACTTCTTTGTCCAAGATTTTGAATGGCACCAGTCTTTGCTGAGGTCATATCACAGTAATAGCAAGTGGACAGTTTACACAATCTAGGCTATTGGTTTTACCTTTTACTCTAAAAAGATTTGATTCAGTAACGTATTGTAAAAAACAAGTGGCAATTAATGTCTTTCTTATGAACAGTGGCTTTGGCTTATGGAATCTACAAACAGGACCTTCCTACTCCAGAAGAGAGGCCCCGAAATGTCGTCTTTGTGGACATGGGACATTCATCATTCCAGGTCTCAATCACAGCCTTCAATAAAGGCAAACTCAAGGTTAGACTTTGACATCTTTTTAAATCAAAATCCACACCTCCACCTTTACCTTTAAGCTCTAAACTCAGTGTCTGCCTGTTCTGTCAGGTCCTAGCCACAGCATTTGACCCGTACCTTGGTGGGCGTAATTTTGATGAGGCGTTGGTTGATTACTTCTGTGAGGAGTTCAAGGGCAAGTACAAGCTCAATGTGAAGGACAACCCAAGAGCTCTGCTGCGGCTGCACCAGGAGTGTGAGAAACTGAAGAAGCTCATGAGTGCCAACTCCTCCGACCTGCCTCTCAACATAGAGTGCTTCATGAATGATATTGATGTTTCCAGCAGGATGAACAGGTCTGCAGTTCTGTCTTCTTAATGCTTGCATCACTGTTGTACAAATGCAGCGTTGTAATTACTTTTTTTTTGTTTGTAACTTACAGGGGCCAGTTTGAAGACTTGTGTGCTCAGTATCTGATGAGAGTAGAGGTGCCACTGAAAGCAGTCCTTGAACAATTGAGTATGTCTCTCAAATTTGGTTAAATTCACTCATTTAAATAATAAATAAATGGCAAATCGACTTGAGTCTTGTGTGTGTTTTCCGGCAGAGCTGAGCCGGGATGATATCTATGCAGTAGAGATAGTTGGAGGCGCCACAAGAATCCCAGCTATCAAAGAGAGGATTGCCAAGTTTTTCTGCAAGGACATCAGTACCACACTCAATGCAGACGAAGCTGTAGCGAGAGGCTGTGCACTTCAGGTAGGCTTCTTCTCTGACACTAATTATCAAATAGTTTGTCTAATATAATGTACAAACATTCTGTGGTTTATAATATTTAATGAAATACATGTGTGTTTATTTGTGTGGTGTGTGTATGTGCTGGTTGTTTGGGTGTAGTGTGCAATTTTGTCTCCAGCATTTAAAGTGCGTGAATTCTCCATCACTGATGTGGTTCCCTTTCCCATTACTCTTCGCTGGAAATCACCAACAGAGGATGGACTGGGGTAAGGGCATTTTAACAATTAGCCATGTAAGGCTAATTAAGTAGCTACATATAAGAAGACACTATATTTCTCTGCAGTCATTCCTGTAAATAGTAAATCAAGCTAGGTCAGCCAGGTTTTGGGACACAGTATGTGCTGACTGTGCTGACTTTCCACAACCTGACTTTGCTTTTTCTTTTGCTGCATTTTTGTTACAGAGAATGTGAAGTGTTTAGTAAGAATCATGCTGCTCCGTTTTCCAAAGTAATCACCTTCCACAAGAAGGAGCCCTTTGACCTTGAAGCCTTCTACAGCAGCCCTCAGGATCTCCCATGCCCAGACCACAGGATAGGTACTAGTTGCTGTTCTGCTCTCTGAAAGTCAGACTACACCCACTGATTAGTCCTACTTTATTTCTGCTCACAGAGAAGCAAAGACACAAAGTCCAGGATGTAAGACTATGCCAAAATCTGGTTTATTTTACCACTACACAAGTCTACCGGGAGAGAAGTACAAATGCTCTAAGTAGTTTTTCTGGGTGGCCCAGTTGTGTCTGAGTCCCTAAAGGCCTCTACAACCAGGATGGTAATTAGTAATAAGGTACAGTCCCCTATAGATGGGTCCTAATGAGTCAGCCACTCTCAAGTGGGGTATCCGCTTGTAACTTCCAGCTGTCTGCTTGGGGAATATGCTGAGGTCCTGTAATTGATGCTCTTTAGCAAACCACCCATCCCATTTTCTTTCCATCTGTTACCAGGGTGCTTTTCAGTACAGAATGTGATTGCCCAGCCAGATGGAGACAGCTCTAAAGTGAAGGTCAAAGTGCGTGTCAACGTCCACGGCATCTTCAGTGTGTCAAGTGCGTCTCTTATTGAGAAGCAGAAAGGAGAGGGAGAGGACATGCAAACTGACTCGGAGCCGATGGTGCAGAATGAAGGCAGAGCAGAAGACCAGGTAGGGGGATTTTTTTTGCCTCAGTTGTTTTTATGATGGCAAAGTCATCCTGTTAGTGTGTTGGTCCCACACTTTGATTCAGACTGCAAAATCTCAACAACTGTTAGATGGTGTTAGATGGTGTTTTATGAAATTTGGTACACATGAAGATAAATCATGAGGACATGCACATTCTAAGGGTTTAATGGCTGGTCATTTTCAGAATCAGAATCAGCTTGGACACATGAGGAATTTGACTCTGGTACTCTGTGCCTCTGTTGTTTTTCAAAAATAATTACAAATACATCGGGGAAGCACACTGTTGCACTGGGTGCCATGTTTCCTCATTACAAAACACCAGACCCTGATATTTCTTGAAAAATGTTGCCCCAAAGGCTCCGAACTGCCGTAACGTTTTACAGTGTCTGAAGTAAGTAAGAGTCAAGGGCCCATGCACGAGATCTGTGGATATTCTTAACAAATATTGAGGTCTTGTTTTTTTGTAATGTGGAAATATGTCACACGGTGCAGTGGTGTGTTTCCCTGATGTTTTATTAATCGTTTTTGAACATCAGTGGAGGTCTATGACACAGACAAACAAGCTGATCCAGGACTGACAGCTGACAGACATTAACCATGAGTAGAGGCAATTCGTTGTCGGTTTTAGTCTCTGTATGCGGAGTGTTAAAAATACTTTTAATGTAGAAAATGACTAACCTTATCTTTTAAACATACTGTATATGGCTTAAATTGTGTGAAGGATAATCCCTTTATATTTATGTATGATTTGTGTCTCAGACTAAAATGCAGGTGGACCAGGAAGGCCAAAGCCAAGGGGACCAGCAGAGCGAGGATACCGGTTCCAGCTGTAAGGTCAGTTGGGCTTGAATTTTAATGTTATATTACATTTTTTATACCAGTATCCTGTGTTTTTCTGTCTGTAGCAGACAGTGTTGATAGTATTAACACAGACACCAGTCTTGCAGGTCCAAAACACAATAACATTTTGAGACATACCTTTTCTGAGATGATTATATGTTTTTACAAAATAACTCTCACACTTATTTTGTAGCAGTTTTTGTAATTACAAACAAAGTTATATTAGCTTTGCAGATGAAAGGCCTGATTAGGTTTTTGGGGGTTCTAAATGCAGGAAGTTGCCTCTGGGGAAAAGCAGGACCCAGCAGCAGGGGGGAGCAAGCCCAAAGTCAAGGTGAAAAGTACTGATCTGCCCATTGTGGCCAACAACATTCGACAGCTCGATGGTGATGTGCTTAACAGCTTTGTGGAGTATGAGGTGAGTCATGGTCTGATGAAAATGCTGATAACTTCTCCACTATTGTATAGAGTAGAATTAAAATGTGATGTGTACAGTACTGGTCCCTTTGTGGTCTGTGATTTTTACTTACTACTGTTACTGTCATTGTTCTGGCATGATTAGCCCAAGAAGGAGACACATTGCTTGTTTAATGGTTGCTAATATACTTAGGCCATTAGACATACAGTACAATTCAGTTAATATTTTATTATCACTAGTCATAATGGCTGCAAGATTTAGAAATATCTCACCACTTTTGACTTTGCTCACGTCAGAACAACTTTTGTAAAAACATATCGTTAGGCACAGCCTCCATTTCAATATATTTATTCATAAAAATAAAATACAGTTTTTGCACATTTATACCGTTAATTGGCATCTTGGTATAAACTAAAATGTGAACTGCACTGAAAATAATTGTCTTTACTAAGATATTATACAATATTTGAATGGGCTAGTCAGTTATTTTGCACTGATAACATTAAGATTTGTTGCTACACTTCATTTGTGTGGCTTTTTCTCCTTAGCGTCAGATGATTATCCAGGACAAACTGGTGAAGGAACTGAATGATGCTAAAAATGCTGTGGAGGAGTATGTATATGATCTACGGGACAAACTTTGTGGGATCTATGAAAAGTATATCACTGAGGAGGTACGCTGTGCTTTTTTACATACAACTGTAATATATGTCATCCTGACAAAGTAAAGACTAGCATAATTAAGAGGATGTAACAAGTAAACCATCTCCCATTGTATTTATGTAATGTTTGGTGATTAATAACAGGACAGTAACCGACTGACACTGATGCTGGAGGACACAGAGAACTGGCTGTATGAGGATGGAGAGGACCAGCCCAAACAAGTCTATGAGGAGAAGCTAGATGCACTCAAGGTTTGTTTTGATTTGTCCAAGGACATTTCTGTTTTCATTTCCAGATGGTATTTTACAAACTGCTAGAAAAATCTCTATCAATTTACTGATCTCCACTACTGCCCCTACTACTTATCTAAGAACCTTTAACAATAACATCAATTGTTTTATTTCCCAGAGGTTGGGTCAGCCCATTCAGGACCGGCACAGGGAGCACGAGGACAGGCCGAGGGCTTTTGAAGAGCTGGGGAAAAAACTGCAACTCTACATGAAGTTTGTGGATTCCTATAAACAGAAGGTAAACCCTTTTAATATGATGATACACTGTCTTTACATCTTACGTAATTAAAAAATGAAGTGTTTTAAAATGAGACAGGTAGACACTGAGTTTTAAACACTGATGCAATACATATCTGTTTTACGTTTGTGATGTGCAATACACTTCACTCAAGCTGTCTGTCTGACTTGTACACACTTTCTATAATATTTAAACTGTAGTAGTATTAGTTTTTAAGTGTCAGTGACACCTACTAACAATTCTTTTGGTTTTGTAGATATAACTTTTGTAAAACCATAAAGGTGAATTCATAGATGACTCGTGATGTGGTAATTAATGAGTCCTGTAAAATAGTGTTGTTGTCACACACTCTTTACCAGGATGAGCGCTACCTGCATTTCAGTGCAGAGGAAATGAGCACTGTGGAGAAGTGTGTGACTGAAAGCATGGGTTGGATGAACAGCAAAATGAATGCACAGAGCAAACTTGCTATAACTCAAGATCCGACTGTTAAAGTAGCAGACATCATTTCCAAAATACAGGTATGTGAAAGACTGTCAACGTCATAGTTATTTCTTCTATTAGCAGTGATGACATATGCTATGATTTTCTTTTACCAACACACTCTACACTTACTACTCACCAGGAACTGGAGGATGTATGTAATCCAGTAATCAACAGGCCAAAGCCCACAGTGGAGGAGGCCCCTGAAGTGAATGATCAAAACAGTGGTGCTCATAACGGCCCGACAGCCAAGCAAGGAGCAGAAGGGAAGGCAGACACAAAGGGAAGCCAGGAGACGAAGCCTGGCACGAAAGAGATGGAGGTGGACTGAGAACATTGTCTGAGAAGCAAACTCTGCAACCATCACTGCGTTTACCATCACTGACCATGTAGATAGACAGTAGAAACCTGAATACTTGGGACCATTTCTCAATCCTCACCAGCCACTTTTGTCGATTTTGTTTTTTGCCCACTTTCCCCTGCCCCACTGGACTTTACCTTTTGAGGTCTTTGTTTTCACCCTTTCATCCTTATGTATGTGTGACATTGTTGTGCTTTACTATCTCAAAGGTTTGACATACCTAATAAATGAAAGAATGGTGCAATAGATTCTGATGTAAAATGGTTTCCTCTGTACCACACAGTACAGCATGGTCTGCTTTGCATGTGCAATCCATGTGTCTCATAAGTGTGCAGTATCAACAGTTAAGTCCTATCAAGATAGTCCAAACAGTTGCTATTGCAGAACTAATAGCCTGTATGCAAATACTAATTATACAAATTATATATATTTGTATTTAATGAGATTGATATGTCCATGTCTAAAAACTGTAAATACTATTTTAGTACACAAAAACAGCCAGAATATATCAGTAGATAAAGAACACATTCCTAGGGTTACATTAGCAATGCTTGGTACACCAAATCTTTTTAGTGAGTGGTTTCCTTTTTGTTTTCTTGTATTTTTCCATAGTTAAATCATGTGATTTGAAAATAGCAAAAATAAACTGATTTAAATGTAAGACAATTTTTTTGGGGGCTAAAACTTTGATTTTCAGCAGCTGAACCTGAAAGAAACTGGTCAGATCTAATCAATACTTGTGTCTCAGTGCAGTCTTGGGATGAGATCTGGAATGTACATTTGATCCTTCTGCAAAATAAATAAATAAATAAATAAATAAAAAATAAACGGGAGAGATTGTGGTTTACTACAAACCTATAATCATGGAACTAAAATGAAAGTGAAGATTGCACAGACACACAACTGCTTGTGATGTTTGTTTTTTTAACTCAGCTAGTAAAATGAAGCTTGAAGGCATAATGTGGATCCACAGAGTTTGAAAATGAAATTAACAACTAATTGTGACTAACAACAGATTAGATGTTGAATGCAACCAGGGCATTATGAAATAATCACATAAATGTTTAATCCTCAACTTTTTGATTAGTATGTAATGTGTCATCGTGTTTCTTTTAACTTTGTGAGTAATTACCAATAAGATTATTGACAGTCATTTTTAATTTAAGCTGTTTCTTTCTTCCCATTTTAGATAGCCTACAAGGTCTGCTCTTTCTATGGATTTTAGAATGTGCAGCTTTTTTTGTATCATAAATTGAATATCTTTGGCTTTTAGACTTGGTTAGAAAAAAAAAAGATAAACCATATGTGTAAAACTATAATGAGTATTTTTCATTATCTTTGCACGCTTGATAGACCTATTGATTACTTGAATTAATCACTTAAATAGCAGATTAATCAGCTATGACATTGTTAGATGCAGCCTTAGATGAGATAAACCGAGTTTTTAAAGAGTTAATGGATTATTTCATTGTCTTAAACACTTTAAGCACCAATCACTACTTTCTGACTAACCTTACTCCCAGGTCTCCTTAGAATGAGTGTAGTCAGAGGGCAGAGCTTTACAAATACAAACTTAAACGCGTAGGCCCACTAAAGCAAGATGAAACGTACACAACTCTTTCTTTATGCACACTTTTGTGGATATTTTTAGTCTACTACGAGGCCATCTGTAGGACCTGTGGAGGGGGCGTGGCAAATAGGTTGTTTTTGTGTGACGTAGCACGCAACGTAGGCACGGGACTAACGGGCGGATATTTTCAAAATGGAAGAAATTGCAAGGTTTTGGAGGGGAACAGAAGAACAACATTTATTTACCCTCTGACAGCTCCTGTAGGGATTATCGATGCACTCTGCCGATCGAGGACTAATGTTACAAACGTGCATGCATAAGCAAGGCGAAAACCTGACGCGATGAGTGTTTCGATCGGCGATAAAATTGAGGTGAGTCCTTTTGCCAGGCTAACGCCCATATGCTAGCTAACTTGGCAACATTTAAGGCTTCAAGTAGGCAGCGACGATAAAGTAGCGGGTTATCTATTAGTTGAATGGTGTTTGTCGCAGCATAATAACGTTTAGGGGCTTAAAGGGGGAATTTACAAGATATATATAGTTTAGCCAGGTTAGTTTACAACACGTTACTGATAAACACAAGTTAACTAGCCATCTCTTTGTTTCACGTGTAACATGTGTCACTTCGGCTTTTTAGCTACCTAAAATATTATGCTCTTATTAGTAGTCGTGGTAGTTGCAACGTTACATAGTGTTATCGTGCAGCTTCGATCCCTTGGTGTGTAGGTTAACTATTCCCTTCCTCTCTCGGGACAGTGTTGTTTCTTCGCAGTGCATCACTTTGGTAACCTAACATGCTGCTTAGGAAACGGCTACAAGTGGTTAGCGGGCAGAGAGCCGGGATAATTAAAGGTTTTGGTTGGCCATATGACGGCGTCAGGTGTTGGTGGCTTGTTTGGCAGTTAGATAACGTTTATTGTGGGAGGATTTCACCTTACTGGCAGTGTGAAATCCTTAGAAGCAGGGTTGTCAGTTTTACTGCATGTCCATCATGTCGCAGGCTGGAGGGACGATGTTTGATCAAGTTATGCGATATTTTTTCCAAAACCTTTCTGATGTCACCCCAGCCAGCAGAGATGAAGAGAATATTTTCTTTAATACTCAGGAAGTCACGATCGAGGTATCATACTATTACAGATCCTGCCTGCTTAGGATCAAAATATTGTTTTAACCTTAAGTCATGGTCATATTTCTCTGCAAATGTTTGTTAACTCTTAATTTCTTTTTTCCTCTTATAGGACTTTAAGGTCCTCACTCTTCTTGGTAAAGGCTCCTTTGCGTGTGTTTACCGGGCAAAATCAGTGAAGACGGGTCTGGAGGTTGCTATTAAAATGGTAAGAGTCCCTCACCCACCATTTATGTCTTTGTTGGTGATGAGAGGTAATTATAGCATGCTTTACCTGCAGTCTAGAAAATTAAACGACACACAAGCTGTTGCCAACGACTGACAGTTGAATTGTAACTGCAGTGATGAGGTTATTAAACCCCACTTCCCTCCCATGGGCTTCTTGTGGTCCCTCAGTTCCCTACAGTTGAGGTCTGAATAGTTCAACGTGGGGACGACAGATTGACTATTTGCCATCAGACCAAAACACCATACGGCAGTACTGTACAGTGTTGTATGCTGATCCTGTGAGTGGCAGGTGTATAATTATCTCTGTTCTGCCTGTGTGCAGATTGACAAAAAAGCAATGCACAAAGCTGGTATGGTCCAGCGTGTGACGAACGAGGTGGAGATTCACTGCCGATTGAAACATCCTTCAGTACTTGAGGTAATGCTGGCTGGATGCAGAAAATACATACACTACCTAAAGTCTGTGGTGACATTCATAGAAGTTCTTTAGTTTTCTGTGTGACATTAATGGCTGTTGTGAAATACACTGTATGTACAATATAATGGAAACAGAACCTAATCCTACCTTATGTAATCACTTTATTCTGTGTTATCATCACTCTTTTTTCCACTTCACTTAATTTTAGGGTTGGTTATCAGTATGGCTTTGAAGCTCAAGCAGGAGATTGGGCTCTTTTGTTACGTAGATACTGGTGTGAACTGTGGGTAGTCACACTGGTACAGTTGTTCTGGACCACATTGTGTCATGATAAATAAATATTGTTTTTATATGTTGTCTTTTTAAAGCTGTACAACTACTTTGAGGACAGCAACTATGTGTACTTAGTGTTGGAGATGTGCCACAATGGAGAGATGAGTCGGTACCTTAAAGAGCGGAAGATGTCTTTCTCTGAGGACGAAGGTCAGGCAAAACCGTTTTACTTTGAAAATCAAATGTTAATTATGTAGCAGTAAATGGTTTATCAGATTTGTAAGCTGCTTCTCTTTTAAATTTCTTGTTGTTTTTGTTCCACAGCAAGACAGTTCATGCATCAGATAGTGAAAGGAATGCTGTATTTACATACTCATGGCATCTTGCATCGAGACCTGACCTTGTCAAACCTTTTGCTGACCAGCAACATGAATATCAAGATAGCAGACTTTGGCCTGGCCACTCAGCTCAGACTCCCAAATGAAAAGCACTTCACCATGTGTGGGACACCCAATTACATCTCCCCAGAGGTGGCCACCCGCAGTGCTCATGGCCTGGAATCAGATGTCTGGTCGCTGGGGTGTATGTTCTATGCCTTCCTGATGGGTCACCCCCCGTTTGACACAGACACAGTCAAGCACACCTTGTCTAAAGTGGTTCTCGGGAAATATGAAATGCCCAGTCATATTTCTCTAGAGGCTCAGGACCTGATCCATCAGTTGCTGCAGAAGGACCCCGCCCACCGGCCCAGTCTCTCTGTTGTGCTGGACCACCCCTTCATGACCCAGAACTTGCTGGGCAGGATAAAGGAGCTGGGGGATGAAGGATCTATGGACAGCGGCATCGCTACCATCTCCACAGAATGCACTTCCTCCACCTCAGCCAGCAGCAGCAGCCGCCTCCAAAGAAGGACCAGACACATGATAGGCTCTGCCCTGCCTAACCGCATGGCACCTATTCCTAGTCTTCCACGCCAACACAACAGTGCATGTTTTGAGGACCGAGAGCAGTGGCAGCAGCAGCCTGACAGATTTCACAGAGAGGGTCGGAGCAGGGCTTTTCATGGTGGGGAGAGCGGGCAGCCTCATTCTCGCTATCTGAGGAGGGCACACTCTTCTGATCGCTCTAGCTCTACAGCATCAGGCCAGGGGTTGAATCACACTGACCTGGGGAGATGCCACTCAGAGGAGGCTTTGACTGGAGTAGGAACACCAGCCTTCCCCATGTCTACCTCTCAACACCCATTTTCAGAGCACGCGAGGCTTCCATCTCCCCCTGTCAAACAGTTGGCAAAGTAAGTAGTCTCTCCCTTCATCCAATAGTGTGTCATGTTTAACCTGGCACTAACAGATTTCACTTTACTCTTTTTCAGTTCTGGGTATTCATTATCCACACAGACAGCACATCCACCAAACCAATTGCAATTTCAAGACCTGGAGGGAGTTACAAATTGGCTTAATAATGAGGGTAAAATTGTACATTTTTTGATTTTTGATTATCTGTGCATATGTCCTAGATTTCAGCTGTATTACTTTAATAATTTCACTTAGCTAATTTTCTTATTCAGACTAACTTTCAGTGAGTTCAGTGGCTTGGTTGGGGACACTTGGATGTAACAAATGCCTGTTAATTTATTAGACTAGCCCAGATGCACCTTTGTAGCTGAAGGGGTATAAAAATTGATGAGTGAATCTTTTTAAACTAAATTTAAGCCATCTCCTTATAACATCTGATTTAAAAATATGTTCTTTTCTTGATTAGGTTCTGGGCAGAGACACACAGACAGCAGCGCGCACAGCAGCAGAGGACCTTTAGGGATTCACAATTCCTGGACAGACAAGCCTGTGGGCCGAGATGCAAACCCTCACCACAACCAGCATCACCTGCACCACCAGCGTTCCTCCAGCCCCTGCTCATACAGGGAGAATGTACCTGGAGCAGAGTTCCAGCCCCTTCACAGCACAGAGTTAAAGCTCCCTTCAGCCAAACCCAGCATAGATAAGGAGAGGAAAATGCTGAGAGACATAGTCCCTCCGCTGTGCGCATCCAGAGTGAAGCCTATCAGACAGAAGACCAAAAATGCTGTCGTAAGATAATTTGCCCCTAGTTTTTGTTTTCTGTTCACTATATGAGCAACGTGTTCAAGCTGCTCTACCTAAAGTCTTTTCAGCTGCTAGAGGGTCTAGGGAGACTCAAACTGACATCATAAGCCACCTCGCCCATCCCATCACGTCCTGTTTCCTAGCGACAACATAAACTATGGATGCCTGGTTGCAACAGACTGCACAAAATACAGCCTCCAGGCTGAAGCTAGTGTTAGCTAACTAACAAGTAAATTTGGCAGTCCGGTAGAACACTCTGGTTACGGCTAATGTGCCACAAAGCAATAATGTTACACAAAGCTTGAATTACTCTGAAATTAAAGTCAAATTAATTTGATAAAGTCAAATCAGGACCATGCTAGGTCATTAATGTTACCAAAACAAACCCATTAGCTTTAGATGCTAACACATCCAGAAGGAAGAACGCCACCTCTGAACCAAATTTGAGTCTTTTAGTTTTAGCAGACGAGAGGACGTCTGTGGCTGTGTTTGATATGAATGTATGTGGTTTCAAAGATGACTTTTATAACCTTCACTAGGTGGCAGGTGGAGGATAATTTACAGACCAGACTTTGAAAACACATTTAGAATAGCTTAAAAACCAAGAAGCACTGTAGGCAGCAGAGTGTCATGGAGAGGAATAAGATAGCAGTGAGACATTCACTTGATTTATCAGACAATGTGTAAAATCTTAACACATTGTTTTATTTTACTTGTATTTCCTACAGGTGAGCATCCTGGACACTGGCGAGGTGTGTATGGAGTTATTAAAATGCCACAGTGGGCAAGAGAGGGTCAAAGAAGTCCTTCGGATTTCCTGTGACGGCTCAATGGTGAGCTCACTATATTGGACTGAATATCATGCTGTAACACTCCTAACTTTTCTTTATACGACTGCTATGGGTTAGTACAACAACATGATATGAAACTTATGATAAAGTCTGAACTTTAATATTTAATATAATTGTAACTTTTCATCTGTTCTAGGTGACAATATACCAACCTAATGGTGGAAAGGGTTTTCCTGTGTTGGACTGCCCTCCTGCTCCTCCAGAAGATATTCTTATTTGCAGCTACGAGGATCTTCCAGGTATTAATCATCACACCTAATTTGCACCAGCTGTGGTAATATTAGAAAATGTATGCTAATTAATAAATTTTTGTCACAGAAAAATACTGGAAGAAATACCAGTATGCTTCCAAGTTCGTGCAGCTCGTGAAATCCAAGACTCCAAAAGTGACTCTTTACACAAAGTATGCAAAGGTCATGTTGATGGAGAACTCTCCCAATGCAGACCTTGAGGTTTGCTTTTATGATGGTGAGTCACATGTGTACATAGAAATGTAATCCCACTGCCAGAGAAGCTTATGAATGAGTTTATGTATGATCCTTCGTATTTTTGTCCGTGTGTAGGAGCAAAGACCCACAAGACATCAGAGCTGGTTCGCGTGGTGGAGAAGAGTGGAAAGTCATACACAGTGAAGGGGGAGGTGGGGCTGAACGGCCTGAGCCAAGAGAGCAGGATGTACGTGGAGCTGTCTAACGAGGGTCACAGCGTGTGTCTGTCACTAGAGGCCGCCATCACAGCAGAAGAGCAGCGCAGCACCAAGAACATCCCCTTTTTCCCCATAACTATTGGCAGGTGAGAGAATTACCTGTTCTATTCCCCGTTTATCTCTCCTCATCTTGTGTGGCTCATGTTTGCTTTCTGTATGTTATTCTTCCTAGGAGACCTGCCAACCCAGACTCCCTGTGTTTGCTGTCGCTGCCCTCCCACCCACTGCCTCCTGATACCGCTTCACCTCCTCACCCTCCACAAATCACTCCTTCGGTTAGTGTCTTGCAGGATGTATGACCAGATGACTTAGAGGCTTTAACAGCTAAAGTATGATGAGCCTTGCCTTTGATTTTTCTAACATTTATTTCCAGATGATCTCCTACGATGGGTCTGATTTCACCACCGCCAGCCTGGGTAAGAAAAGCTCCCCAGTGCGACAGGACCTGGTACAAAGTGCAGGAAAAGTGGTGAAATCAATATTTGTGCCCAATGTTGGATGGGCATCCCAGGTAGCTGATAAAATAAATTACACTATCAGCAAAGGTTTTATTTTTGGATTTTTTTTTTGAGGTTTTTTTTTTTTTTTTGCTTTGCTGTAGCTGACAAGTGGAGAGGTGTGGGTCCAATTCAACGATGGATCTCAGTTAGTGGTTCAGGCTGGAGTTTCCTGCATCACCTACACATCTCCAGAGGGGAAGATCACCAGGTACAAAACATGTTCTATCTTTATGGGTTTATGTGCTTATCAGCTTTGTTATTAAAGATGAAAGCAGCTCACAACTGGTCTTTTATCTGTATTCTCAATCGCTAAATAACAGCAGTTGTGGAACAGCTGATGATATAGCTTTATAGAGAGCCTTTCTTAAACTGTAATATTTAGGAGAGCTACAGCAGTGTTTATAATTTTAAAAATTAGCCCCACTATCTACATTTGCAAAAACAACCAATAAGAAACATGCACTTCACACAAACCAAAATCCTCCTGCAAGGCACAGTAACTAATAAATCATTCTGTCTTCACAGGTATAAGGAGAACGAGAAATTGCCAGAGCTCGTCAAAGAGAAGCTCCACTGTCTCTCCACCATTCTTGAACTGTTGGCCAATCCAACTACTCGTCATCTACAACCTCATTAACACTTTGTGGTGGTAAAAAAAAAAAAAAACAACAAACAAACATCCCAGTGTCACATAAACCTGACCTAGAACCGAAAGTAGCATTAGTCTGTATACCGTCTTGTCTGGTGTTCTTGTAAATATGTTTTGTTTTTTTTACATGTACATAAAACTAAGATTATGAAAGATATATTTTTATTTTAATAAGAAACCATTTTGTAAAGTCTCAATTGGCCTACTTGAAAAAGTTTTTTACCATCTTCAATTCTATGATGTGACTAACACTGAAGCAATAAACAGCAGGAGGCTAAGTGGACAATTGTCGCACTTTGTTTTGCAGTCTTCTCTTTGCACTCGATTTAATCCTGAAGTAATGTTTGTACAAAGAAATATAAAATTTCATATAATTGAAACTTGTTTTAATTTGACTGTGTTTGATAGGATGCTACCTCCCACTATAGCCAAAGAAATAACACGGGACAAAATAACGTGCAGCCACAAACTGTTAATTAAAGCCGAGCTTAATAAAATGCAGCTGGTTCAGGTTTCACATGTTTAATTTGCCCTGTTGGTTTGGCCATTTAATTAAGAAAAAGTCACAAAATTGTGGATTCCTCTCAATTACAGAACTGATAAACATACTGTATGGATGTTAAGCCTAATCATATATACACTTATTGTACAAGACACCCAAGGAGTAAACACTCAGGTGGAGGCTTGGAGCATGACGACATGGCCTGTGTTACAGACAGAACCAAGGGTAGGATTAACCATTTATTTGTCATTTAGAAGCACAATAAGGAACGAAGAGATAGGACAGTATAGTGGTGTACACGGACCTTTCCAGCTTAAACAGGGAGATGCCCTCAATTTCACCCCTTGGTGATCATATTCTGAGACCAGCCAGTTTCCTCTGAGCCTGCTGCAATACTTTGACTTTCTGAATTTATTCTTGCTTCTTGATAAACTGTGGTCAATTAAAATAAAAAAATGAACAGTGTTGTGATGTGTCTAGTGATTTTCCAGAATGCCCATTATCTTTTGTCCCAGAGAGATGCTGGTGAGACGGCTGCAGTGACACTATTAGCGAGAGGACGGTCAGTTCCCTCGGATACTGGTAGAGACAACAAATCAAATAGGAGGAGCCCTCTGGGACAAGAGACTGAGAAAGAGCAGGCTCAGGGGATGCAATAATCTGTATGCGCTGCAGGTTCCCTCCCAGTAGATGATAGAGGGAGACAGCAGCATAAACCAGAATCTCATCAGTTCCTTTGACACAACCAGACCCAGTATTTTATTACTACTCTAGTAAATAGCCAGTTTGTTCACGTGCTTTCACTTCATTCATATAAAACATTTTGCCCCATAAAATCTCAATAAAATAAAGTTGCTATTAGTAAATTTCAAGACAAGGATATTAACAAAATTTGAGTTAAAAAAAATATCTCACAGTGAACACTGGGAACAAGAGCTGCATCTCTGCCCACCACTACCCCTGCAAATGACTGGAACATCTGACACGAATACAGCAGCTGGAACGGGAGACGGGTCAGAGTACGAAGCTTGAAGCAGATGAACCAGCTAGACTTTCCAGAGTGCAACTCACTTGAGACAAAATGCAGAACAAATTCCTGTTGCCATTCAATGGTCACTAAATAACTAATACCCAGTTTAGTTGGGTAATCAAACACCTTTTATCTTAATTTAGTGGAATAATTGAGTCTCTAATTAACAATTCAGTAAAAAGTGACAGCAGTGTAAGGGGGTCAAGTTTGCCTCAAGAGAGTAGGTTGCTCATATTACAAATAAAAGTACTAAGACAGTCTGTTTAAGGAGACTTCAAAACCATGAAGCAATGCAAGAATCCTTACAGGATCCCACTAACAAATTCCTGTTGCCATTCAATGGTCACTAAATAACTAATACCCAGTTTAGTTGGGTAATCAAACACATTTTATCTTAATTTAGTGGAATAATTGAGTCTCTAATTAACAATTCAGTAAAAAGTGACAGCAGTGTAAGGGGGTCAAGTTTGCCTCAAGAGAGTAGGTTGCTCATATTACAAATAAAAGTACTAAGACAGTCTGTTTAAGGAGACTTCAAAACCATGAAGCAATGCAAGAACCCTTACAGGATCCCACTGGAATTTGGGGGGAGGAAAAAAAAAAATTCTAGAAAACATCCACAGAACACAAAAAGGAATGTGATTCCTTGTCTTCATGCACTGACTCAAACAAGGAGGTCCTTGGTTTGTTGGACACCCAACCTTAGGCATCTGATGTAGAGTAAACACGCAATGACCTATCGGTGCAACAACAATCATCTAAAAACTTGGTCACATGATGATGCAGATTCACTTTTAGTCTTTTTAACCATTAGAAATCATGTTTTCAGCAGGTGTCTCTCCTACGCTTGAAGTCCATTTGATGGCACTCTAAAAAGTAAACTGCTTACATGTGTTTTTCAAACTAACAAATCATCTCCTTACTCATGTTTGGACTCGTGTCGTCTGCTGCCGGTTGACCACAGTCACATAGCAGCCCGGGATCAGTGGAGTAGTGTTCAAATGCCCAGCCACCGCTTCTCCCCACTCAGTCTGTGCAGAGGAGTCAGTGGTACTGACCAGAATACGATCACACATCACAGGCACAGTCAATGAAAAATACAAAAAGGCAGAGAGAAAAAAGCTTACACCCAATCACCATCATTTTCAATAACTACATAGGAAAAGGTTTTTTGATTAGATATATTATCATCATTAACATCATAATTATTATTAATTATTATTGTCACCATTGTTGTCCACTTTTGTTCAGGGATCAAACAGAGTGGGGGCCAAGAGTCAGTCACTGGGAGGAAGCTTTGGTAGCTATTGTGGAGACACAGTGCTGCTGGAAGTTGGGGGACATGGCTGAGTTACACCCCAGTCTCTGGCACGGGCCCTTCAGGGTGCCGTCACCCTCTACAATCCAGGGGCTGCCACTGGGGTCTCTGCCCTGCATGCTGCAGTAGTCAGGGGACGGCAGGCTGGCGTTGGGTACCGTAGTGCTAGCTGGCGGGCTTCTGCGCTGCTCATTGGCAGGGGTGAAGTCAGGGTTGTGGCTCTGAAGCACGCTGCTGATGTGGTTCAGGAGGTCACTGAAAAACTCTGGGACACCCTCATAACCTGGAAATATAGGAAGACTTTCCTATTTAGAAAGAAATGTTAGAATCTCTCTTCTGAATGTACAGAAAACCGTTTACACGGGTAGTTTATATACCTACTCCATTCAAGTGAAGAGAGCGAAAGCAGTGAGACTTAATCCACTACATCTAAAGATAAAAACTATAACAGAAGTTGGAATAATGTACATTAATTTGATTATGCATACTCCCAGCAAAGATATTTTGGGTTCATTTTAATGAAAAGTGGGATTAATGGCAGAATTCTAATACAAAGTTGCCACATTGACAGACCTGGCTATCATGTTTTGGCCTCATTCAGTTAAGGATTAGCCAGGTGACAGGGGATAAACACGTATTTCAACAGAACTGATGCACAGAAAGAGACGACAGCAGTTTTTAGACACTGGTACCAGAAAGAGTGACAACCAGGTGACCAGAGTAAGTAGTCTACGTCAAAATGAAACGTATATTCCACTTGACTTAATCAAATATAAACCACCCCTGTGGAGGAGAGGCAGCACCTACCAGGGAATGCATTGATGTCAATGACAGCATGTTGGCCTGTTTGGTTGTTGATGATGACATCAATGCCAAACAAGGACACACTCAGCGCCTGCCGCAAGGACTTGGACAACTCTCTGATGACATCCTCATTGGGTGGCTGAGACACTCCCTCGACATTCTCTCTCTGAGATCAACATAAATATTGAAGCATATTAACAACGAAACTGAAAAAGACACATGGGATTTTAGTCAGTGACGGTGTGGACGTACCGAAGTCAAGTCTGAGGACGACTCTGGTTTGGAAACATTGTGGCTATTGAAGAAAATGGCTTTCCTGTCTAAAAAGGAAACGGAGGTATAACATGAATTTGACAGACCCTTTACATAAAGAGTGGTTCAGATGTATTCAGACCCCTTCATGGTTTGCACCTTTTACTGTGCTGTTGATTTTAATTCAAATAAAACTGCCATTCTGCCCATCAAGCTACACTCAACAACCCATAATGACAATGTGAAAAATGTTATTTTTGCAAATTTATTAAAAATCAAAAACTGAAATCTCTCACTGACAAACATGTTCAGACCCTTTGCTGTGGCACTCCAAACTGAGGTCAGGTGCATCCTGTTTGCTTTAATTATCCTTGAGATGTGTCTCGAACTTGATTGGAGTCCACCTGTGGCAAATTGAATTGAATGGACATAGTTTAGAATGTAAGTGTATACAAGGTCCCACAATTTCCACTGCAGCTTAGTACAAAAACCAAGCCAAGGAGCTCTCTGTATATTTGCAGCAGAGATCAGGGAAAGGGTATAAAACTACCAGGACCCTTCCCTAGTGTCAGACATGCAGACAAACTGAGTAACTGGGCATGAAGGGCCTTGGTCAGAATCTAACAATCACTTTAATGGAGCTCCAGAAGAGGCGGAAAACCTGTGGGAAGGATGACCGTCTCAGAAGCTCTCTGTCAGACCTTTATGGCAGAGAGGTTTGACAGAAGCCACTTTGAGTAAAAGGCATTTAATGGACTTTGAGCGCATAAGGAAAAATACCCTCTGGTCTGAGGAGACAAAAAAACCTAACTCTGGGCAGAGTTCCAGGCACCATGTTACTAGCCAACATCATCCCTATGGTGAGATGTGGCAGCATCATGCCATCTCAGCAGCAGGGACAGGTCAGGATTGAGGGAAGGATGAATACAACCAAATAGAGATCACTGAAGCAAACCTGCTCCACAGAGCAGTGACCCCAGACTGAGACGACAGTTCACCTTTCAACAGAGACAGTGATCTGAGGCACACAGCCGTGACAAAACCTGAGCGGCTTCAGGACAAGTCTGTGATTGTCCTTGACTGGAACGGTCAAAGCCCAGAACATCTGATCTGAGGATGGCTGTTCACAGATGCTTTCCATCCCATCTCCCAGGAAGAATGCGATAAACTTCCCAAATCCAGCTGTGCCAGAGGGGCTTCTAAATACTTTTATAAATAATAGATTTAGTACATTTGCTGAAATATCTAAAACAATGTTTTCACTTTGTCATTATGGGTTCCAGTGTAGGCTGATGGGCAAAAATAGCAATTTCATTCATTTTAAAAATACATCTGCAACACAAAGTGTACAAAGGTGAAGAGCTCTGAATACTCGTCATTTATATATACACACACACATTTCTCCTCTCAGTCACTAGGTGGCAGCAAAACCCAACAGGTCACTTGGACACCTTCAATTAACTTCTTTAATGGTTATCACATCTGATATAAAGAAATAAACCCACCCTGATGTTAAGTCTTTTAACCTTTAAACTTCCTCAGCCAAAAACATGTCATTTGTTTGCCTCCAGCAAGGGGCTTTTCTTTGAGGCAGTGATAAATGTGACAGGATGGACTGTGAAACGTATTGCTCCCTTTTTTCTTTATCCCTAATGATTAACATTAGACAGTGTTAGAGGGAAGGAAGAGGGGTGATGGAGGGGAGGGAACAAGTAAACACTGTAAAAAATAAATATTCCCCTTGGCTTGCAAAGTGCTGTGGTAATGAAGTGCTAGACAGATGGAGCCTTTCATTCCCAGGCTGGATGACCCCCGACTGTCCTTATCTTCATACCTGCACTTTGAGCACACAAGATAAAATAAAGTGTATAGCCCCAGGCTACAGAGCACAGTGATGTGAACACGGACCTGATGTAAAGTGTTGCTTTGTGTGTGGCGGGACACCGGCAGAGCTTTGAAGCAGTGCCACTTATCAGAAAACACTTGACACACTGTTACACAAAGCGGAATACTACGCTGATGGTAAAACTGGTTTGTATGAGGGCCTCTACTGAACCAGATGCAAATTCTGGAGCCATTTGTATCAGGGGACAACCCTGTATTCAAAGCCACACTCCAGGTAAGGATTACGACATGTTTATGGCGAAAGACACAGCTCCTCTTGTTCACTGTCAACAGCATATACCAACAGGACAAAACAAGTTCTCTCTGCTGCTTCCCTTAAAAGGGTGAACAGGTCCAATCACAGGGACTATAAAGCCATTTTATGAGGTCTTTTATTGGGTAATTTGGAGACGCCATACAACTGGTACAGCCTGACCAGTGTGGCTATTATCTGCCCTTGGACTTCCTTACCCGTCTCTCTCTCTCTCTCTCTCTCTCTCTGCCTGTCTGTCTCTTCACCTGCAGGTCCAGCAGGGAAATTCTTCAATGAGGGTCTCTCCACCACAGTGTAGGAGTCTCCCACCACAAACACCTTGTAGAGCACTGCGTTGTGGTTGATGAAGCTCTGGATAACACACGGAGGCTTCACGCTCTTCAGGTCCTCTTCGCTGAAGATGATGGCCATCTGTGGACAGTGAATGAAACAGCTCAACGTCAAAAGATTTATCATTGAAAACAGTCTGAGACAAGTCTGGTTAAAACCTAACTCAGTTCGATGTCGAGTGTGGAAGAATTAAGACTATCAGACCGGCCTGACAGGGCTATTGATTTTAGATGACACACAGGTACAGCACTTTATCTGACCGTGTTGTTTGGACTTGTGTTAAATGACAATTGAGTGAGAGGACAAATGTTACTCTAACTAGCGGTTACAGCGGAACGGTGGTTTGCACTATCGCCTCACAGCAAGAAGGTTCTGGGTTCTGTGTGGAGTTTGCATGTTCTCCCTGTGCCTGCCTGGGCTCAGGAATAAGCAGATAACGGATGGATGGACAAATGTCACTGTTTACACAAAGTAACCTGAGAGCCCTGTGGCCTCTTACCTCGTGGGAGTTGGTGCCATGAGCCACCCGTGTTTTGCAAACTGAGGAAGAAATATAGGTGAGGATAAACCAGCAGAGAAATTAGTCAAGGTAAACAAACAAATGCTGAAAAGCTCTAATGAAATGACAGCAGGGTACAAGCATCCCCCATTAAGGTCTTCTCTTAAAACTGGGCATAGGATTGTAGCTACAGTGACAGCATATAGAACATCCAGTGGTTAACAGATCTAAACAATCAGTAGCCAGTGACTGAGACGGAGATACTTACTGAAGGGGAATGAGAGTCCTTGCCTCCTGATTTGCTCCAGCACATCTGGGCTGCACTCTGTGTTCAGGACCATGAATGGAGGCGAGCAAATCCTCTCATCTAACAAAAACAGAAATAACAGAACAAAGAGGGGATTGGTAGAGTTACAGAGACGATCTCACTGGTGCGGTCTTCTAGAAGCCAACAGAATGACACAAAGACTAATGATTTGTTTTATTAATTATTCTGTCGAGTACCTTTACATGTAACCGACTGGCTAGCTGGTATTTTAAATTCCATGTTTTGTTCAACTGAATGTTGATTAACACGATTTCCTGCCAAAGTCAGCTACATTTATGAACATAAAAGCTGAAAATCTGTTGTAGGATCGACTGTATAACAATTTATTTCTAGTTTTGTAAAGCTGTCACAGCTTTAGTGGATAGTAATTTGTGTTGATGCACGTTGTCGTGACTAGCCAAACTAACATGCACAGGTCTGTTTGGTGCTCGAGGCCATTGTGTTATCATCCACAGCTACTACAC